ACTGCGCTTCACTGTTTCATGTGCATAACTGTGCAGTAAGCCAAATGCAGTGAAGAGGACTGCACAAAAGCCCTAGGTCATTTTGTGCTGACGACCTACTGTGTACACACTGAACCTGTGCATGTTTGAGTTCCATATAGAAAATACATGCTCACCAGTGACTGTGGGCATTTGTGCACATTTGTGCTGTAAAACCAAAGGAGGGTTAACAGCAGCTGGAAGGAAAAAAAGAATCTGACATTTTGCATATTTTTCGGGATTTTCTCTATACAGATCATTCCTGGTCTCTATGTTGGAAATTTTAGAGGTAAGAGTGTGGCTATGTGTGTGAACAGTTCTCTCCATGGTGAGACTCAGGCCCCTACCCCCCTCCCCACATTAATCCATCATTGCCAGTTAATGATATCCTTCTTCCTGTATGGCCCATTACGTGGGTTGAAGCGATCATACATGTAGCTATGTGAGGAGGGCTTAAAACAAAAAAATATCAAATTTTGTGACGGGGAGCTGCCATGAGCCGTATGCTTGTCCAAGCAGAAGTTGGGGATCGGAAGAGTCTAGTGGACGTCATGGAGTCAAAGGGTTAAAAGCAGCAGCTCAAGTGATACAGGGGTTGTCAAGGAAAGGCCATGTTTTTTGCGGTGCATTGTGGGAAATGGTAGAAAAATTTCATTCGCTGGCTATGCACAGGGAACTTGAATTATTCCCAATGTCTGTTTGTCAGGAAAGAAGTGTATTTTGAAAGCAGTTTTAATTAATCCTTCTTTCTTCAGGATGGAGTGTCCCAATCCATCAAAAATTTCCCCAAGTTGTCTACTAGACATGTGCTCAAATCGGAACAAGATGGCGATGCTTTTGTCGACTGTCAACATGAAAAATGGCCTCTCCATAGTGACCTCTTGGTAGCGCACTGTGTTGTGAATCACCTTGGCATTTTACTGGATACCAACCCAAATCCTCTCGAGTTAATCAGACCACCCAATGGTTTTAACTTTGACTTACAAGGAGCATTGATAGTCCTGCCAAAACAGCTACCGAGCTGTACCGGTACCTTCCTGATTGATTCGTTTGAAATCCTCCAAGACCTGCCAGCGGATAGTGAAGAAACTTGGAGAGTTTAGAGTTAATCAATTATTTCTTCTCTTACAGATGCTAAAGATCAGGAAGCCTTGCATAATAACCGCATCACCCACATTGTGACTATTCATGACCATGCAAAAGTGCCATTACCTGTAAGTTGGAACTTCCACCTGAATAAGCCTTTTGCGGGTTAACTTTAAATGAAATCGAGTACACTGGGTTATCTGATTGCACATTGAAGTATTAATTTGAATTCCTCAGACTAATGACGCTGATGCTATCTGCCTTAATTAGGAGCACCCACTCAAATCAATAAAAAGAGTTGTGTTGGTCAGGAGTGCTCATTTTGTTGGTAGCGATGCAACTGTTATGCATGCATTTCATAGTCATTTGTGAACCAGCAAAGTGCAGTTCCTACCTAAGGAGCCTGCGTTACTAGGAAAATTTCCCCCTCTAGTCCAGCTCAATGCCTATGTCTCTTGATTCTTGCAAGCGTTTGCAGAGCAACCACCATCTCTGAAATGGACTGGTTCCTTTGTGCCCTTCTTATCCATTGAAAACAGTGTATTTGTGCAAAGCGTGTCTTATGTAACTATTAAGCAAAAGCTTGCCCCGAATCACGAGGTATAGCAACAGTGTCCTTAGCATGTAGAACTCATATCGTTATGTTCACATGAATTTAAAGAACTCAGTGAACCAAATATTATTCAAATTAACTCTAATAAGGCTTTTATTGCTGATTATGGTCTTACGTTTTAAATCCTCTAAGGCTGTCAGAACTGCCACTTTAACCATAAAGTACCAACCAGCCAATAGTCTTTCGGTATTCATAAATCGTAACCACACATTATACACTTAGATGACTTGTCGACGGTTTCAGAGAAATACATCCCAAAATATGAAGTTCCTTTTCCTGGTTTCATACAAATACGATTTATTATGTTTAATGGTTGTGGAAGAGAGAGATAGCAATGAGAATATATTTCTTGATGGGAGAGTTTTTTGACTGAGGTTTATTGTGTTCTGTTTTCATTACAGCATATTGAATACCTGACTTTAAATTCACCAGATAATCCAACAGCAAATATGTAAGTCTGTGACCGTAATATGTCTTTGCATGAGTTTAAGTGCTTCGCCTTTGTTGTTTTCTTGTAAGAGCCACAAACCTGCCACTGACTTCACAGGGTCCTTACTGTTTCTCTTGGTTTCATATTGTACGAGACTCCTTCGGAAAAATTAAAATAAACTTGGAGAAAGAAAAAGATTAAAAGAATAACGCTGAATAAGAAAATCAAAGAAATTAAAATTGGAGCATGTTAAACTCAAACTTTTGAATGACTTAATAATAGAAACCTGTGTGAGTGAATGTGAAATGCACATGTGACAAGCTTTCGCATCACACTCGTCATGCACCATTCAGTGATTTTCATTGAAGGGGTCATACTATTTAGCATAATAAGCGTCAACAAGTTATTCAAGCATATTCATGCAAATACTTTATATTTACGATATTAAAATTAGGCTCCTACATATCATATTAGTGTATCACATTATCTAAAATGATATTTGAGTGTGGAAATTTGAGTGACAAAGTCGGTTCTGCTCGTGCGTCCAACGGGCAACCAACCTGATATTTGATTGTGGAAATTTGAGTGACCATGACAAAGTCGTTTCTGCTTGTGCAGTCCAATCGGCTGCCATCTTGTTTTCGCGTGGACAGTAGAAAAAAAGAAACGTGTCGGGCACCCATACATAGTGATAAATTATTGTTTTCCTGGGAGAATCTGGAAGCAAATTCACTTTTTTCTCTTACACAGCTGCAGATGTCGCAGTCTCTTAAATATGATAAAACTACTCTGAAATCTTCTTTGAAATCTGATTTTCAAGTGGTTGATGTCTTCGATGATGCTACTTGTGTGTGCTGATGCTTGTTGATGCTAAAGGGCACAACCACATTGGAGTGCCTTATTACATGTACATGGCAGCTCTCTCTGGTTGTTGACTTCCCTGCAAATATAGCCAGGTTTGGTCATTCTGAGCTTCCAGCAGTGTGCTAGTTATTACAATTGGATTTTTCTTTACGCTGATTTTATTGCAGATCTCAGTTTTTCCATAAGGCTACTGAGTTTATACACGAGTGCAGAATACATGACGGACGAGTGCTCGTTCATTGGTACGTGTATGTTTATGTTTGTTAGTGGGAATGTGTTGAAAGTTGGGAGAAATATAGAAATTTAGACAACAAAAATCGGCTTCTGTCAATTGTCAAGATTGCAAAGCTCACTATCATTTTTAAAAATTACATTCTGATAATGCATAAATTTTGTCACATTGTAAGGTGGATTCAAAAAGATGTACTCTCTGAACACATTCTATTTGCGAAATGGATGGCGAATTATATACATGTATATGAATAATTGGTGCATGAGCAATATTGACATGGCAAGCATGGAGGGGACAAGCATGGTTGATTGTACATGTTATGATTGATGTCTTACGTAGTCTACAAAACAAAAGCCATGGGCTACAAAGATTTGGATGAATTGGGAAAAACATTAATGTTTAAAAAAATGAGAAATTTTTGACACTTAACTTTCCAACGGTAGTAATACCTAGGCCGTAAGTAGAATAATTGTTGTAATATTTGCATTGTTGGTTGTGGGTAGGGATGCTGTTGATAGTCCTGTCTGGTCCATTCCATTCAAAGTAGTAAAAACTTTTCTGTGTATGCGTTGGTTTTGCAGCATTGCAGGGGTTTCAAGGAGCGTGACCATTGCTGTTGCCTACCTGATGTCCGTCACTGACCACGGTTGGAGGGACTGCCTGCGGGCCGTCAAGCAGGCCCGGCAAGTGGCCAACCCCAACTTTGGCTTTCAGAGACAACTGCAGAACTTTGAGAATACTGAGTTAAAGGAGGTAGGGAAACTCGATCGCTTCCGGTCCAGTGTGGAAAGAACACAAGCACCTGCCCATTTATAACTGGAGACACTTTGAGTAATGACTAAGTCAATGACGAGGTAGCAGGTGCATTTCTGTAACCTGTCAGAAAAGTGCTAACACAGGCAATGTCATATGCCTGCTCTCTAGCAACGGTTGTCTTTTGATATTTGGTGGTGAAATTTGATGAAGACAGGATGTTAGTCACCTGAATGCCCATAGTAAACAAACATTGACCCATGTTTTGGTGAATGCAAATGTGAGCTTCAGGCATACGTATGGCCATAGATGAATGGTTATTGCACTCTGGATTAACCGCCATATTAGGAGTGTGGAGCTCTTGTCCCCGCCCAAAAAAGGGGGAAGGAAAAAAAAGAAAATTGCTAGTTAAAGTCCACAAAGAAATTGGGTGGAAAGGAAAAGAGAGTGTGTTTAAAATAATGTGACTGGACCTCCAAACCCAGACTTCATAGGCACTTTATCTCTGGGGTACATGTACCTTCCTAAATCCTAAGAGGCCTTCTATTGTGCAGACTTTTGTTACCATGTCTTTGAAATCAAGGCCCACAAAGAGTAACACTGACTAGGCTCTGCCTTCCTCAATCCTGTAAAATCTCCTTGGATCTCCTGCTGGACATTTTGGAGGATCTGAGGGTTAGGGTTCTCTTGGTTCTCAAAGGTTCTCTTATGTCCAGTTTTGTAGTCCCACATTTGCAGGTGTCCATAAAGTAACTGAGGAAGTTATTGTTGAAAAGCATCTACTTGGCTTGAAGATGTGGGACTAAACTCGGTGTGGAATAATTCTTTCTGGCAAGGTGTCATTTGGAAGACAGCAACGAAAGCTGGCAGTTTCTAATGATGGGTCTTAAGACGCAGTTTTGCAAATTGCCTTTTATAATTTGTTTTCCAATCGGGCATGTCCCAGATTTTGAATGTGGGTGCAATTCAAAACATGATTCTGTGACTCTTGATTTGCAATCGAGATCCTAGAATTTTTTTTTTCAGAATACATGTTTACAGCATTTAATGAGCTGAAACTTCAAACAAAGCCAAGCAGTACACAAGATGTCAAGATGCAGATATTTGCGGAAGAGATGATTAGCAACATCGCAGAACAAAGAAAATGCAGTGCAATGGTGTCTGAAAGTTTTGCATAAAATGCTGTGTTTCGGAAGTGAAACCATTCCCTTAAAGCTTAACTTGTAGCCTCCTTATCTCACATTCATACACGGAGGTTAGCTCTTTTATTGGACGTTGCAGATGGAGTTGTTGGGTTTGTTGCCATGAGAAGAAAAATGGGTAAAATGTGCGATACTCGAGCAAGAGAGAATTCCTGGTACGTGTATGTCCATCGTGCCAGTGGGTGTTCGTGTACGACCTGCTCTAATGACCCAACAGAGAAGTCTTCCAAGTCGGACGTGCTGTCTGCTTCCATGATTGCTTAAGTGTTGATAAAACATTTCTACATGAGTGCGTCTCTTCATGCCAACTTGGAAACTAGGCATTACTTGTGAGCGGTCTTTTTGACACGACTGGTGAGTTGCGACTGGTCTCACAATGCTCTCAATTGCAACACTCTGGCACCAGGTGACAAGGAACTTAGTGTGGGTTTTTTACTTCGTCGTATCTCAACAGGTCAGAAAGAGGATTAAGGAGAGATATTCCGACACGCTGAGGGAGCAGGACACCTCAGCCATACAGCAACTCCTGGACAAGTGCAATCAGAAGCCAGAGTCCAAGGACCCAGAAGAGGATTTGTATCCGCTAGCTTATAATGCCTACGCATCGCAGCCCCCCGGAGACATGCCACCTCTGGACACGTAACTATCAAGCTGAGGCTTGTGAGCGGATAAAACTCTGAACACTGGTGCATTTTGGTTGCTTTGTTTGAAGGCAATGTTCTGGAAAAATTAGTCATTATTGTAGTGACAGGGTTTGAGGTTTATAAAAAGTCGGGTCTACTGTCCAGAGCATTTATATTTGTTTATCATGATGCTGGAAATAGACTGGAGCTGTTCTAATTCCAATAAAAGATTTGCAGTTATAAGCTAGGAAATATTGGTGCAGGGAATTCAGTGTTTTAAGCATCTAGGTCTTACCAACTTCAACCGCATTGATAACCAGGATCATTTACATTTCAAGAGTTTTGGTAAGCAATTACTGGAACGACAGTACTCAAAATCCATTGTGGGATGATGAAGAAGCAGTAAAAATCTCAACATTCTGCACAATTCATGCAGTTTCTACCAGACTTTTAGGAAATTGAATATGAACATACTGGTCTCTGAAAGGGTTTCTTCATTTAAATCAAAGGGGTTCATGCAATGCAGTTATTTTACTACAACCACTGAAAATGCACCTTTGTGCTTCAAGTAAACTTTATTTTCATTTTTTGGGGGGCTATTTTGACAAATTTTTTAGGGGACTTCTTGATTTTTATGCTCATGTAAATTTTCATGTTCACAAGCAAACTGTGATGTCATCCCAAACCCTGAACCTCAATGTTGCATTGATTTGGGCATAAAAAAATGTTTGGATTTGTTCATGTTTCACTGTTGTAAATCTCCATTTCTTAACCCTAACTGCCCAAGGGTTGCTGGACCTAACCTTCCCCATTCACACAAAGTTAAACACCCATATGGGACTTTGTGCACAGAGGCTGTTGGACTTAGTTTTTCTGAGGTATGCCAAACCCAATGCAAAAGCCAGCTGTCTGGGCCTACCAGACCTATCCCTACAGAATTAAGCAGTTTACTACTGTTTAATTCTGTGTGGTTGGGGAAGGTTAGGGTTAAGTGAATTATTGTTGGTTAAGTACAAGACAATAAGCCAAGAGCAGCGGTTTGTCATGGTTGTTTTCAAAAAAGAAATTTGAGTTCAAAATCTGACCACAAAAACATGCAAATGAAGTGTCTTCCTGTTTTTCATCACAGCAATAGGGCCCTCACTTTTCCAGAATAATGCAGACAATTTTGACACTTTTTAGACACATTTTGACATTTATCAGGAGTGCACTTTTCAATATGCTTGACACAAAAATATCATCTTTTTTACAGTGGAGAAGAGTGTAAAGGTGCAGAAATTGTGTGTCTGAGAAAAATTCAATTCACGGACCCTTTAAGGTTAATGAAGAATGCTGACTTCAACATCTTACTCTTCTAAGGGTGACTCTAGTTTCTCTTTTCCAAGTTAAACATAACATTCCAAGTCCGATAGACAAATCCAAGGAGACACCATTCCTGCAGGGCCATGACACTCACGTACTGTCCTTAAGTTGAGGCTATTGGTCGGAGGGGAATGTAATGCGAGCGTACCACCTACCTACAAACAGGAATGCCCCGCAGTAATGGTTTCCAGTTCTTTTCCCTGGATTCATCTATACCCATATTTATTGATGTTTCCCAAAGCACAAAGTCAATAATTGCACCCTGCTGTAGAGGTTTTTCTTGTGATGTAGCATGATGGGCAAAGGCATTTCAGGAAATGTACCGCATCTGTAGAGGTGCGTGCAGTTTTGAGTCTGTGTCTGTTGGCAGTTTCATGTATGCCAGATTGTTGAGGGACTTTGGAGGTGCGCATGTTTCTGCGCACATCTGTGTAAATTGAACGATTATCACAAGACACACATGGGAGTTTATCCTACACCTAAGCTGTGGAGAAAGAGGTGATAATGAATCCAAGAAGACATTGGCTGCTCTTCTCTTAAAACCATTACTCCCAAGGACGTTCACCAGGATCACTCCTTTATTCTTCAAAATCCTCCATGTTGGAAATGTGTCCGCCTATTCTTTGTACTCAACTGCCAAGGAGAGTCAAAGAGTATCAATGGCTCACCCCCACCATAATCCTTAATCCTGCTAAATCCTCGAGAATCTATGGGTGAATCTAGCATGAGCCAAAAGAGTCAGGATGAATCCCACATCTTGACCTTTTGAAGGAATAAGAAGCAGCAGTGCATTATTCTGGTATAGAGCACTGCAGTGAATATGTTACGCACAACTGCGCGTGTTAAAGGCATTAGCATGAGAACCGGTGTCTAAACCAACATGCCCCGGGCACTCCATTCATTTGGACTAAACTTCTGGTTCAAAATGGCGTCACGTTTCGGTCCTCTATATAAACTGATGCAAGGGACAGGATGTTCTGAATATGAATAATCTGTCATCATCACACTTCTTTTTTGTAAAATTGTTTTCAGAATACCTTTTGAGAAACCCCATCGAAAATTCCTGGACAGACAAAATATGTTACTATTACCACATGAATAGGCTCGAATTGCTGAGCTGGGCAAAATGCCAGGCCTACTAACTTACCTCCATCAATTACTGTAACTACTGCCAGGGTAGGGATCCGGAGGGAGTTGGGTCTGGAGTTTTTAAATCTGGTCAAATATTATTTTCCATTTGGGAGACTTTCCTTTTCGTTTATAAGTATCAACAATAAATTCCAACACTTTTTTACAATTGCCTTTGAAGATGGTTAAAATTTCAAGTAAACATTTCAAATGTTTTCATTTCAGGGAAAGAGTAATTCTTTATGTGGTTATGCATGTATGTACGTGTACAGATGTGACTCTTGAGACTTTTTTCTTGCATTTAAGTATTCTGCATTTTGTTATAATGTTAAAATTTTCAAACAGTGGAACCTTGTCGTTTTAAACCATGGCCTTTCAGCCTTGAAGCTATGCATTTGAATGCTTTAGTTGCAATATATTTTTGTACAGCATACTATTAAAATGTTATGTGCTATGTATAAGTATAATTTTCTACATAAGGGTGAGTTTGTTAGAGAAAAACTTATAATTGAAGTTGTTTTTTCATAGTAACAGATCCATCTCAGTAAAACTGTTTTTCATAGTGAAGTGACAGACTCACATCCAAAAGTGCGGTGGTGGTCACCAATTTCTAGAGCAAGGGATATTACAAACCTCTTGAATTCTGTAGACATGTGACCCTACCGGTAGCAAATCACAGCCACATGAGTTACACACAGAACTTTTCGGGTACCAGCCTTTATCAAGTTTTGCAATGGAAATAAGGTGGAACAGTAATATTGTTGCCCATGTAATCCACATTCTCATCAACAGGTTACCACACTGAGAGGTACATACATGAGAATGTACCTCAAATAGGAGGTGCTCTAACTCAAACTAATATCACGCACAGTGTTTCCTAGTGAAAAGTCGACCTCAATGGAGGTTTTTCATGTGATGTAACAGGACTAGCAAAGGCATTTTAGGAAGCGTATCATATCTGTGGAGGTGTGTGCATTTTCGAATCTGGCTATTTCTTTTGGTAATTTCATGTATGCCAGACTGTTGAGAGATCTTGAAAGCACGTTTCCATACACGTCTGTGTAAATTGACCATCAAAAATCACGACTAAAATCCTTTATACTCACGTCATGGGATCCTGCCATATACTAAACTGGTGGATTTTCTTGAAACAAAGTTCAGTGATAAATCGTTCACCCTACCTCTCTGGACCTTTTTGCTATGAACATTCCTGATTCCAACAGAATCCTCCACTGTGCAGTAAACCTATGACATAGTCTTTAGGTGTACATCAACATTCAAGGGTCACAAAGCCCATGGAAAGTAAAAGTGGCTGGGACTCTACCTTCCCCAGTCCTGTGCAATCCTCCAAAACTGGGGGATTGTAAATTGGGGACCTTTTTCCTATAATAGAAGGGAGCGCTACACTTTAAGTTTTGAGTTCACCTTGGGAGATGACTGTGACATCATTCTCAATAACTGTAGGGTTGATATTGTCAAAACAGGGCAGGGTACTGATCTCTCAGACTGGATAGCGCGTGAGTCGTTTGCCGTGACAGCAGCTCGAAGTTTTTGGCCTTGATCCAAATATGGCTGCCTCAATGCACGGAAGCCTCGAGCATGTCATGACAATTTAAAACGGCATCAAGATATAACAAAATAGTCTGTGGGATTGGTAATAAAAATAAAGGAAATTTGTAGTTTTGATGCCCCTGTTGTAACATGTAGAAAAACAACCCGAGTCAATGTGAAATGGCCTGCACAGTCATGATACAACACCCCACGGTGGTCTTGAGCTTCGCACTGCGTGAGCTTATGTCAGGCCTCCGTAGATGGCACCTGGTGATTTGAACACTTGATCGCGATTTGCTTTTCACTCAGTTTATCATTATAGAGATTGGTGGGTCAGGACTGTTTGTGCAGAATCTGTCCAAGAAACCCAGCCTGTTTTAATTTGCAGGTTACCTGCAGTCACTGGTCACAAAGGCTAACAATTATTATTATTACAAGGCAGAGTCAAAGTTTTTATACCTACTTATACATGTTGCTTAGAGTACATTATCAAAAGGGGCGTTAAGGTTGGTACATAATAGTTTTGTAAAAGCTTTGTGGCACTTTTGTAATTCTGTTAATCCACATATTTTATAACCTTGATTTATGTGTCTGAACAGCTTATTGCAACAGAATATAACAGAAATTCAATAAGGGTAATTTGATATTACGTTAAATGTACAATTCAATTGATTTGAATATAAAATGCGTTTATAGGTCGGTATAAAATGTAATAAATTGGTTTAGAGATTGAACTAAAGGCACACGTTTTGTGATTGAGACAAGTCATTTTACTTTCATAGGATGGCAATATTCCATTCTCCCAGTACCATGTCGCCTGGCATTTTGACTCTTTGACCTCAGCAAGGCAGCTTTGATCTACCGCCGCCAACCGGTGAGTATCAACCATACGGACACAGTTACAGACTAATGATTGCAAAATCACCTGTTACAGAGATTCTATGATTACTGCCCCGAAAGCTGAAACTTTTCGCGCCACTTGGCATTGTCTTTACAGATGGAGTCTTCCACGGATTACTCTGTGATACAAGTATTTGTGCATTATAGTTCTGTTTGGCAAGTAAATGGAACTGTAGTAGTCCTTGTGGGAAGTGGAAAATGGGAGAGGTTCCTGACTGACTGACTGCCTGACTGATCTATCCATCATCGGGGGTGTAGAACCGTTCATGCCTGACGATCGCAAGTGAGCTGCCACAACTGCTGAATGAGGAGATTGTGGTCAGTCTTCAGCTGGTACACCCAAGCAGTGTTGTATTCGAGTCCCTCACAAGTCTTTTCACAAGTCCAGTTACAAGTCCGTTCAAATGGCTAGTCATAAGTAACGGTGAACAATGACAAAAGAATGCTTCTGTCAAAGCTCATTTGAATAGCTTGTGAATTGGCTAAAGACTTGTGATGGACTTATGATGGACTTACAGAGACTTGTGATGAATTCGAATACAACACTACACCCAAGTGTTGCATTGACAGTGCCTTGTGAGCCTCCCTTTTACTTTTACTCTGAAATTGCACGTCTGCACTTTTATTTTTTTGCCAGTTTGCATGAAGCAGTGTGCTTCTGGTTTATTATCAGCAAATTTTTGTACTTAACAAACAAGCCTATACCTCCATAACCTCAGCAAGAATTTTGAAGGGTCTCAATGTACCATAGACAATACAAACGTTTCTTACATACAGTGCCTTGTACAATGTGTCCATCTGCTGCAGTCTGGGAGGTATAGACAAGTATTCTGACACCTCACAACAAAAAATGACTTTGGACCGTGTTGTTATTTCTGGAACAGCTTAACACTGCATTTAATCAACATCAATCAACCCACCATTGGGCCAAGGACCCATTGAACAAAGCAGTTTGTGAAGTCAAAATGGGTACAGCAAACAACAATTCGGGCAGGCTCACCCCCGCACAACTTTGCACACATGCCACACACCTCACGAACAGTTTGGGCATGCTTGCCACACACTTCACAAACATTTGGGGCAGGCTTTCCCCAAAACAAGTTAAGCACACTTGCCATATTACTGTATTAAATGGCACAACACACATATTCTGTAACTTACATTGTTCGGGCACATAGCACTTGGCAAGACACGATACTCTATTGGTAGATCATGCAAGTAACGCACGTGCACCACCTGTTCTTCATTGATGGCTTGCTACTCTTTCCAGGCTTCAATATGTAATCTCAATTTGTGCCATCTCCTTCCATGAAGTTGCACCACTCATGCACCGGTTCGATTCGCTTGTCAGTTAATGAATTTTTTTCCCTCAAATTTGTGGGAGGTTTGAGTAAGTCGGCATGTCAGTAAGAACATCAGTATAAGCAGCAGTGTCGTAGTTGAGACCATTACAAGACAAGACACAGGACCAGACACAAGACAAGACACAGAACCAGACACAAGACCAGTCACAAGACCAGACCCAAGACCAGTCACAAGACCAGTCACAAGACCGGACACAAGACCAGTCACAAGACCAGACACAAGACCGGACACAAGACCAGTCACAAGACCAGTCACAANGTTCTCCCAGTACCATGTCGCCTGGCATTTTGACTCTTTGACCTCAGCAAGGCAGCTTTGATCTACCGCCGCCAACCGGTGAGTATCAACCATACGGACACAGTTACAGACTAATGATTGCAAAATCACCTGTTACAGAGATTCTATGATTACTGCCCCGAAAGCTGAAACCTTTCGCGCCACTTGGCATTGTCCTTTCAGATGGAGTCTACCACGGATTACTCTGTGATACAAGTATTTGTGCATTATAGTTCTGTTTGGCAAGTAAATGGAAGTACCGTAGTCCTTGTGGGAAGTGGAAAATGGGAGAGGTTCCTGCCTGACCGACTGCCTGACTGATCTATCCATCATGGGGTGGTGTAGAACCGTCAATGCCTGACGATCGCATGCGAGCTGCCACAACTGCTGAATGAGGAGATTGTGGTCAGTCTTCAGCTGGTGCACCCAAGTAGTGTTGTATTCGAGTCTTTTCACAAGTCCCTTCAAATGGCCAGTCATAAGTAACGGTGAACAATGACAAAAGAATGCTTTAGTCACATCTCAATCGAACAGCTTGTGAATTGGCTTAAGACTGAATGACTTGTGATGGACTTATGATGGACTTGCAGGGACTTGTGATGGATTTGAATACAACACTACACCCAAGTGTTGTATTGACAGCCCCTAGTGAGGTTCCCTTTTACTTTTACTCTGAAATTGCACGTCTGCACTTTTATTTTTTTGCCAGTTTGCATGAAGCAGTGTGCTTCTGGTTTATTATCAGCAAATTTTTGTACTTAAGAAACAAGCCTATACCTCCATAACCTCAGCAAGAATTTGGAAGGTTTGCAATGTTCCAAGGACAATACAAATGTTTCTTACATACAGTGCCTTGTACAATGTGTCCATCTGCTGCAGTCTGGGAGGTATAGACAAGTATTCTGACACCTCACCAAAAAATGACTTTGGACCGTGTTGTTATTTCTGGAACAGCTTAAAACTGCATTTAATCAACATCAATCAACCAACCATTGGGCCAAGGACTCATTGAACGAAGCAGTTTGTCAAGTCAAAATGGGTATGGCACACGACAATTCGGGTAGGCTCACCCCCGCACAACTTGGCACACACGCCACACGCCTCACGAACATTTTGGGCACGCCACACACTTCACGAACATTTTGGGCACGCTTGCCACACACTTCACAAACATTTGGGGCAGGCTTTCCCGCAAAACTAGTTCAGCACACTTGCCATATTACTGTATTAAATGGCACAACGCAAATATTCTTCAACTTAAATTGTTCGCGCAAATAGCACTTGGCAAGACACGATACTCTATTGGTAGATTATGCAAGTAACGCACGTGCACCACCTGTTCTTCATTGACGGCTTGCTACTCTTTCCAGGCTTCACTATAATCTCAATTTGTGCCATCTCCTTCCATGAAGTTGCACCACTCATGCACCGGTTCGATTCGCTGGTCAGTTAATGAATTTTTTCCCGCAAATTTGTGGGAGGTTTGAGTAAGTCGGCATGTCAGTAAGAACATCAGTATAAGCAGCAGTGTCGTAGTTGAGACCATTACAAGACAAGACACAGGACCAGACACAAGACCAGACACAAGACCAGATACAAGACCAGACACAAGACCAGTCACAAGACAAGACGCAGAACCATACACAAGACCAGTCACAAGACCAGACACAAGACCAGTCACAAGACCAGTCACAAGACCAGACACAAGACCAGTCACAAGACACAGGGTGAACAAGGACAAGGGAATACTTTTGTTGCGGTTCATTTGTATAGCTTGTGACTTAAATTCAGACTTGAGGTCTAATGGGTCTTGCGATGGTCTTCAGAGGTCTGGACTATACAACACTGAAAAGCAGTGATGAGTAGCCAGTCGTGAGTAACCATGAATTATTCATTCATAAATGTTTTGCAAAATCCTTCATAAAAGACCTCACACCCTTTAAGAACAGTTGTGCGTAAATAAATTACAAGGAATTTCTTTTCATCAAGTAAACAAGATTGGGATATTGATCAGATTTACACTTGAACAAAAAAGTCGACAAGAGTGGGATTTGAACCTGAGCCCTTCGGAACCGTCCGATAGCACCCCAGCCACTGAAACATTCAGGCCTGACAAAGAAATAGGCAGGGGAGACTGCTAACATGTGAATTTCATAATCGAGCACGCCACACTCTGAATGATTAACTGAATAGCGAGTAATCACTTGGCTTTTTCACCCAGGTGTTGAAAACAACATGGAAGCGGGCCAGGGCTTGCTGGTAAGGGGTGGCTGCCATCTTGCAATCATAATACGTGTGAAGGTCGTTTCTCCTGGGGGGAAAAAAGGAAAGAAAAATCTGACCGCTAATGATGTAAAATATACTACACTTCAAAGATTAAGGACAGTTAGGGTTAGAATGGTCCATAACCACTGGAACTCTATTCAGTCAGGTATTCATGGTGCACATCAGGATGATGCTTTTAAAGGCATTACTGAAGTTTAACAGAAATTAACCCTTGCACTGATAATGTCACACTTTGTTGGCATGTGTGCTTTTCCATTGTGGCCTGGGGAGTCAATGCATGCATGCAGAGTTCCACAGGGCCGACAAGCGAACATGTAAACAATGTTTGACGTCATCAGTGCATAGGCCTATTGCCTCATCACTACGACAGCTACATGTACGCATCATACGCAGGAAAACATATTGAAGATATCCTAAAGAAATTGAAGTGCTATGATTGTATATGTCTGTGTCGATTCCTGCATTCCAACCATAATATTCAGACATGTATGTTGCTAGTGGTCACAGTAAAATGATATTTTTCTGGAGAAAGGGGACTTGTGGTCAGATTCAAGCCTTTTGTGAGAAAAATACTAAAAATGCATTTTAAAGATGCCACGGGGAAAAAAACATAGCAGCCTTTACTTTATCGCCATCAAATCACGACGTGCTTACAGAAACGCGTGACTTATGGGAACTAATGCTGCATACCTTAAGGTCTGTGGATATCCTGACTCTGGGCAGGACTGCATCAAGTCCTTGAATGACTCAAACATCTCAGCCTTGCACACGCTACATCTGAAAAAAGGGGGAAATTCACAAGACCAAGATGACTACACGAAAAACTGAAGGGGGCAGGGCCAAGACTGGGCTTTTGTTAAAAAAGTGCACCTTTAAGGAAACAAAAATATGAAAGGACTGGCTGGTGTTCCCTACATCTTGAAATTTAATAAGGAGTGCTGATGACGAAATAAAGAATATACATTGTACTTGCATTTCAGACCCAAAAAAGGACCTTCAACAACCTGACCTAATTGAGTGGCTGTTTTGAATTAAAACAATACAAGTGACTGTGATGGAATCCTGCGTTAGGGTGATGCAAAACCCATACTGTTCATGCAAATTCCTGCACCAGTCTTATTCGAGTTCAAATTCCAATGCCTGACTCTTGTAACCTTGATCATTTGTTGAGAGGTGAGACATTTACACAGGCATATGCACATTGGCAGAGGGCTGTGGGTTCCATCAACCCCACAAGCTTGCAAAGACGTTTAGCATCCTAGCTCTCACAAAACAACATAAAATCTTCATAAGATTTTGCATGTGTGCAAGGCAACACCCACTACAGAAAGGAATACATAGATTACTGGGCAAGAAATAAATGTATGTTATCCATGTGACTGGGCTGTAATGGAGTCCATCACAAGTCCCTTCAAGTCCATTACAAGTCATCCAATCTTAAGTCAAGTCACAAGATATTCTTACAAAATCTGACAAAATTCTTCTTTTGTCACTGTTTATCCTGTTACTTGTGACTGGGCCTGTCGCTGGCCTTGTGATAGATCCTGTAGAAGGGCTTGCTATGGACTTGCATACAGCCCTACGTCATGGACGTTCACCAATTTCCTGACACACCCTTACCTAGCCTCTTTTTTGTGAATGTTCTTGCTGGTGACACCTTGTCTCTTGCCATTGACCGACACCTCCAAGGTTCCCTGTTTTACATTAGCCCAGATGATAGCTAACAGAGATCAGAAATGACCAAACACTTATGGGTCACTCATATTACAGGCTCCCCAATGTATATATAAAAACGTTCTTAATGCACAGAGCAAAATCAAAGTAGGATACTTGTTGTTATAAGACCTCACTCACAGATTCTGTGTCTTGATTGGCCGAGAGCCAGTCACATGGCATTCATTATTTAAGCTATCTTGCTGTACGTGATCAAAAGAACTTGGCCCATAGCAAACAAAGTACTATACCAGTAGCGACCCAAAAGTTGTATGTACGACAATCGGCACTGTATGCGAATGCATACCAGTGTGAGCATTGCATGTCATGCAAACTAGCACTACAGAGCTGGGTTCAAACATTTTGTGAACAGGTAGTATGGGAAAAGTGCTGGTAAATTTTCGACAAATTTCCTCTTCAAACAGACATATTTTTATACTTGGTTGCATAAAATTAATTAGTTATTGCGTGAATCAGGTAGAATCTGCTGGAGAGATGTTATAAAACAAGTATCAACTGCTTTATCTCATGGTGCAGTAAATCTAGCATTTTGTTTTCTTTGTTCTGTATAATTTGTCTTTTTAACGATATGTGCGGGGCTGCATAATTGTAGTTTATTTTACTTTTACGATGGTCCCTGTCGCACATAACTGTTATTTGTCTTGTTATGTGTTCGGATTTTTGTCCCTGGTCCCTGCTTCTGCTTCTATTCACTTGTGTGTTTCTTTGTTTTTATTACATACGTTTTGTTCAATTTTGTTTTGTCTGTTCTTGTGATGGTCAAATAAATAATAATAATCCCTCGGTGATATGGGGAGCATTTTCCCTCAGCTTCGTCTCGGGAAAGTAGAATTCTTTATGCATCAGCTTGAGAGGCTGGTACATGTACATCACACAAAGCAGTCAATATTTGTACACTGAGCAACCTACATGCATAAATTAAAAGTTTACCGGAACCAAAGATTGTACAGCGCTGCATAGCAGTGCAGCGCTATACAGCAGCAGCGTAGCAGCGCAAGATGGAGAACTTCACCGTGAATACACGTAAAACGTTGTAATCGCATGGGTGCCAAGCAATACGCCTGCGCAATGCACATTAATGCACAGGCGCCGCGGCAGGCACGTACACCTGGTGAGCCTGCGCCTAAGCATTACCATGAACTGCACACGCGTATCGCTTACTCAAATGGCTCCCATGGTGATTACACCTTTTGGGCAGAGTTATCCATCTTGAGCCAAACTGGACAAGGTCATACAGTATGTGCATTTGGGTGCAGTTCTGGACACCTTTCATTTTCAGTGCTGACATACGTGTATGTGAAGGCATATATGTATGCAACACTTTTCATCATGGGTGATTTAAAATACAACACATATCACTGGAGAAACAAATTCTGTGCTCACCAACAAATCATTATAGCAACAGCCAATGCATGCTTGCAAACACTGCCAAACAATATTCATTTCACATTAGGTGATGATGGAGATTCAATGGTTGAGTCTTTGGTTGAAAAGTTTTTCTTTATATACGAATGTTTTTTGTTGTTTACTAGGTTTTGAAATGTACATGTACAATGTACTGCGTTTGTACAAGTGAACAATGAAGGATGATTACTGGACAGCAATGTTGTAAGTCTCGAGACCTTTTTTTGTGGTCTCGGTCTCGCCTTGTCAAAGTCTCGGTCTTGGGAGGGCTGGTCTTGGTCTCGGATGACATAGTCTCGGGTCTCCCCCTCGAGACCGTCTAGCTACCATGCATGCACGCAGTTGCAAAAGACAACATTACCTCCGCTTGAGTCAAATCTTCAACCACTGATACAAATACAACACAGTAATGTTCAGATTTTTTGCAATAAACAATGAAATTGATGCTGGAATGAAGAATAGTCAACATGGTCAATGCAGCTTGATGCAATCTTGTCACAAGTTGTTACTTTATTTCCAATCCAAAGTAGCCATGCTGCTTGACACCATGGAAATGAGGTTGTGAGTAGCGGAATTCGCACACTAGACTGGTTCCCGATCCCTACATAGTCTCCAGCTGAACGTAGGGCCGGGACGGGAACCAGTCTGTGTGTGTGCACACGCTATGAATTGTGTGCATGTGTGAAAGTGCTTTCATTCCATCTTGTATGTGGTACGTGTTGTTTTAGTAGTTTTGTTACGGTACATCTTTTTTGGATATTTGTTTTTCAGTATTTTGCTTACAAAAAACAGTCTAAGGATATATGTTTTAATGTTCACATCATATCATTTGGGACACTCGGGTTGAAAATGACCAGACCAGGGTAAAAATAGTGCGGTTTCACTGATAAAGAATTGCTACATGTATATTCTTTAACAAATATTTGACCTAGGCCTATTTATGTGTGTGTGTTTATGCTAATATTTTCATTTTATTTCTTTTGTACTTAATTGTACTGCCATATGTTTGTACCTATTTACCTTTTGGTAAAAAGTAAACATTGGTTTATGGTTGGTCTCGGTCTCCGATGTTGTGGTCTCAGTCTCGACCTGCAAAAGTCTCGGTCTCAAAGTCCTGGTCTTGGTCATGAAGGAGTAGGTCTCGGTCTTGGTCTCGTATGCCTTGGTCTCGGTCTCGGACATTAAGGTCTCGGTTACAACACTGCTGGACAGATACGGGAATGTACTAAGTCTACCCTGAGGTTGGAAAGTTGCCTCTTCAAGTCAAACACAATAGCAGCACACTGCACCGTCAAATTAATGGTGTTATTTCGATGTATGCCAAATCTGGATGATCTCTTGGCCAGCTGTTTTGAAATCGTGGCTGAAATTGTGCTGTTTGGAATTGACAGTTATTTCGTTCAGAGCTTCCTTGTCAGAAAAACCTCAGATGCATTGAGTTCAAAATTACCTGCACCGGCAGGCACCACCTTTCCCTGGTTACTGTGCCCGGCAGCGTTTGATGACTGAACTGCCCCCTTGGAGTCGGGAAACAAGACTTGAGTCGAGACAATGTGTGGGACATTGATGGTATAATGCTCTGGTAGGTTGGACACCTGCTGTAATCTACCCATCAGGGCTCGCTGAATTGCTTCTTGATTGTACGGACACCTATCCCATATAAAATGACATGAGCTTTAACTTCATTATATATCTTTCACTTTAGACTGAGCAGTATGGTTAAATCACGCCTCTGAGAACGGCCCATGTATATTTCCATTATGCCACTTAGATTAATCTACTGCCGCAAGTTTAAAATAGTTAATTTTTTTTTCTTTTTAACTTTCCATTTTGGGTCAGAGGTCAAATAAAGGTCAGTTACATGTGTGACATCAGACAGAAACAAGTTTTTTATATCAAAAGTTATTTTCTGAAACTTTTTAAAACTGTGGTCAGTATATTAATATTAATGGCATATATGCAAATATACGTGGGCCATTTTCAGAGGCAAAGGAAGGACGTTGCTCATAGGATTTCCCAATTTTTTGTCACACACGTAACAGAGAATGGCCCATCATGTGAGAAATTCTGGAGCATAAAGCCACAGCCTTATGAATTACGCATACGTGCATCATACCAACAAAACTAGGCCAGGCCCAAGCCAACTCAACCAAGTTCCAGCATCACCTATCCATAACATCAAGCCCAAGATAACCCACCCTATCCAGACAAACCCAATCTAACCCATACAACCTTCCAAACATAAGGTCCAGCCCTGCCCACTTCATCTCAGCTGTGCCTGATGCTTAAACGCAGTCCACAAGTCGCCCCCTCAACCTAGTCTATCCTACAAAGTGTTACCCAGCCAAGCCAAGCCCAGTGTAACCCATCAGCCCATGTAGCTCAGCTCTGTACTGAACAGCCCGGACCCAGCTCAATTCAGGTCAGCTCAACCTACTTAACACCAACCAGCCCAACCCCACCCAGCTAAGCCCACACCGGCACAGTCCAGCTAGCCCAGCACAAGCCAACTCAGCCTGAAGAGTAACACACGTTTTGAAAACATCCATTTTTCCCCTTACTTGCCAACAATCACAGATGTCAAGTGAAGAGGCCTCGCCAGAAAGTGCGACAACAGTGCCCCCTGCCATCCTACTACGTTCCATTTGGCCATCTTGTCACTGCAAGACATAGACAACGTCGGATCCCCTCGTCCTGGTTTCAGCCTTAGCAGACCTACCCTGTGGTAGTCTGCTCCGCTCAGGAGTAAATCCTGTGGACCCTCAGGCATGCATTTTGCCCCAGTCCGATGGATATCTCTACAATAACCGGATGAGCTGTCTGTCTGTTCTGGCAGTTGATTAGGAGCAGTTTTACAATCTGTCTCATCATCTCGGACCGATGTGCACGCAGGGGATGTTGAACAACACCTGCTTGAGCTCCTATCAAGCAGCAAACTGGGATTGTCTCCATGTTCCGAAACTAGAGAATCCGTATCGTTGCATAACTGTTGCACACAAGGTTCTGTCACTGAAACCTGTATCGGTACAGACTTGTCGCACTTCAGTTTTTTGTTGGAATGTAAACACTCACTTGATGAATCAGACGACAGCTGCAAACTGCTTGCATCTACGTCAAAAGAATCCCCAGCACGCTTGCAGGCACCGCGGTGCCCTCTCAAGCTCTCATCTTGCACCATCTTCACACCCGCCCCTGCTTCGCAATCGTCACTACTGGGGTCCTTACTCAGTTCAACACCGGCAGGCGATTCCTTGGGGAATATCGAAGCATCCCCACACGGCGTTTGACTGGTGAAGAAATGAAATTTGATGGAGTTCTTCAGAGAACACAGACGGTCCTGATCAGGTGAGGTGAAGATAGACTCCTGATTTCCTGAGCGGGCAGCTTGCAGCTGCTCATAAAGGTACCTTTTATAAAGAAAAAGGGCCATTTAGGAAGAAGGTTACGGTAACATTTTCTGAAGTTCCTGAAAAAGTTGCACTCGCTGAAAAAAGGGAGGAAAGAGAGTGATTTTTTCTCCAGAAATTAGCAAGTTTTTTTTAAAGACGGTCTTTACAAAACTGCAGGTAGAAGTTATTGGCTTGACTCATCATGAATATATAATCAAAACAGTACAAATGATATCGCATCAATAGATTAGTTCACTGCAGAGTTCCATTTAAACTGTATCCAAATGGTGAGCATTTGGTATACTGCACATGGGCTGCATGTCAGCCTTGGATTCCAGTAACAATCTTTTCTTTTAATATCTAATACTGCTTCTTTTCTGTTGAACAGTAGAACATTATACAGTAGAATACAATAGAACAGTAGAATATGAGGAAATGTTCCATTCAACTCGCCTGCGACTCGTTGAATGGAACATTTCCTATTTCAACTCATGAAAGTATTCTTTCCATTGCATGAATGAAAAAAAATTATTATTTGTTTTATATAACACCTAAGTACATGTAGATCGGACTCTACTGGCTAAAACGATGAGTAACGATTTCAAAAGTGATCATGGGCATAACACACAACCTCTGTTGACCAATTACGTATTGAAGTCCTTTGCGTGCAATAGATCAAACTACATGTAACCAAAAGTGCACGGTGTATATAACAAATATCAACGTTTATGACGTAAGCCATGAAATAGTCTATTAAGAAAATATTGACCTACAATCCTCCAATCAAATGGCAAGGATCTACTATACTTAGGTCTTTAAAGCATAATAGTTTACCTGAGAAACGCACGTCTAGCTAACACCTCTGCATGGCTGTCATTGATAATATCCCCTGAAATGAAATAAAGAATTGAGACTGAGTAGGCAACAAGCTCTCGGCATACACAAAAAAACAGAAAAGTACAGGAGTTCTTTCCACAACTTACATGTATCTCAAACACCCTTGACCTTTAGATTCCCATCTAATTGCAGTACATGTACATGGAAATCTTGTACTTTCATATGAATTTCTCTCTGTAGTTACCCTATTTATAATACATGTATTTGTTTGGCCATTTCAAACCACAAATGGTAAGATACTGAGCCAACCTCAAATGGACTAATCTGTCCAAATCGTGCTAACACAGTTGTATTTGAGTCACTAATTTTTGTGATTCAGGTTGCATCATTGTAATGTACATGTAGTGAGTCGAGTCACAACTGGAACATAGTGACTTGAGTCGAGTCATTAACAGTCGAGTCCATTCAAGTATTTAGCTTGAGTTGATTTGAGTCACAAATATTTGAATACAATACAATAAATAAAAACATTTTGAGGTCATTTTAATTTTTTTTTTCTCAAAGATGTGATCACACCACAGCTGACTACTGATGATAACACACGGCATGAACATTATAAACCAGCACTGCAAGTCATTGTAAAATAGTTTTAGGCAAAGAAGGGTGCTTTTTGGGGCCCAGTCCTTTTAGCTTTCACTCAAGTCAGGTCTTCTGTTGAGGGACTCAAGTCAAGTCGAGTCATTTCCATGTACTGTACCTTGTCTGAATTCAAGTTATCGTAAATTTCTTACACTGCACTTTCTCACATTAACCCACTAACATTAAATGGTACAGTTTTTCACACAGAATATTACAAAACTACAATTTGGTTAGAATTGGGTATGCACTTTTCTACATGCATATCGTTACCTTCTTTGCTCATCTTGCTCCGACCGATGCACTTCGTTCCTGTTGCCATAGCAACAACCTTAAGGTCATCTGTTTCAGTTGTAATAGTAAACACGGTAAGATGATTGAAGATAAATGTTTCAAGCATGACTAGCACCATGTGACATACATGTACATGTACCAATGGAGCATTCACACATCCACCATCATGACCATTGGCCCAAAACCATCATCAATTTAAAAACTGAGTCGTGTGATCTTTTCCTAAGCCCACCTCCATATGACCTCAATGGGGGGTCATGCTATTTAGCATCAACAAGCATCAACGAGCATCAACAAAGCATCAACAAGTTATTCAAGCATATTTATGCAAAAGATTTATATTTATAATATTAATTAGGGTTCTACATATTATATTCAGTATGTCGCGATTATATAAAATGATATTTGAGTGTGGAAATTTGAGCGACAAAGTCAGTTCTGCTTGTGCAGCCCAACCGGCCTAGATCTTGTTTTCAAGTGGACAGCAGAGAAAAGACAGATGGCGGCCCCAAACATTGTGAAATTTTTTGTTTTCCTGCATGAATCTAGAAAAAAATGCCTGTTTGTCTTACACAGTGGCACATGTTAGAGTCTGTAAAATATGATAAAACGTGTTTGAAATCTTCAGAGGATATTTTCAAGTTGTTGATGCTGTGCTGATGCTGCTTGTGTGTGTTGATGCTTGTTGACGCCAATAGTTCATGTTGCACGACCGCGACAGGACACTGGTGTAAAATCAAATGAAAAGAATAAATGAATTTTGAGGACACTGTTCCTGGTATAGAACAGCAAAGTACATTTTAATTTTTGGACCAATCTAGGCAAATGACAGTGACCTCATGTTGAATAGATGAAGGGTTGATTTTGTGGAATTTTGAGGACTGGGTTTAGATTTGTGAGGGCAAAAAGCCAATTTACTGCCCAGTTGCCATGTTGATTTTACGGGGTTCATTACCATTAGCACCCTGTTCCTATAACAAGGAAACAAAGTCCACTTCCTTGAACTAACTAACATTTTGACCTTAAGGAACCATTACTCAATTCTGATAAGCGTAGTTTATGTACATTTTGACAATATTTAAGCAAGAAAACTTCAAATTTCTAACCCGAGTTTGGCAAAAGACAACTACTCAGTCGAATCACGCCATTTTGTTTCGTCCAGTTACCCGACTCGGGCTCTTTGGATTCATCAAAACAAATCTCCATCCAGGTCAAGGCACCAGACAACATTTGCCTATTTGTCGTTCACAGCTACCTTCAGCATGTTCGGGGTGGTCATGTACGCTGCCGTTTTACCCAAACATTTCTCTCAAAAACCAAATGGCCCACTTTCTTTTTTTTCTGATATGTAAGAGAACATCATCAACAACTTGTTTAGATAAGTTACTTCGAAAAAGTAGAATTTGTTCCCTTATATTAGGAACAGGGTGCTAAAGGAAATGAACACCGATTTTAGCACCCCCGTGCAAGTATGTGAACAAAGCTACGACAATAACAATCGTGAGCATCCATTCGCCAAACGTTACGTAATGTTGTCATGAATTTGTTTCCCTCTGTTAAATCTTCTGAGCATGCGCACATAACACATGGAAAAAGGCTAGCCAGTCCATGGCCATGGTTGAACTTTCAATCATATGGTCAGTAATCCGTCAAAAGGTTATTTTTCTTTGCAATTTCCAAATCACAATTCACAAAATCAACACAAGGTGAACATATTCATGATAATGGAGAAAGCATTGCCTTTTTAATTGCACTCTTTTGAGGACTGACCAGTCATGCCTGATGGCCTACTTAAAAGTCTAGGCCTTCAGGCATGACAGGTCAGTTTAGTTTTACGAAAACTAAGAATAATAAAATGGGGGTCCCGAATACACAATTCCCAATCAAAATGATTGGCCAAAATCATGTCTCTTAGTCTTACTTTCATTAACTTGCACGATTGCAGCCAGCAGAGTCCACTCCTTGTTCGCTTGTGGCTTACCCTTCTTTGGGAGGACTTCTGTGTAGTGTCTAACACACAAGGTAGCCACCTCCTTGGCAAAGTTTTGATCCATTTGTTTACATTTACTAACCGTGACACCTGGCAGCAATAGACGTACATGTACATGTACATGTATGTGTGCAACTCACGCGTTTGAAAGAAGTTAGACGGGTTCTCTTGCAGACAAAGCGTGCGCAGAACACGATCGTTCGTCTGGGATCAAACAATAAGTAAACAATGTTATGCAATTTATGTATGGAGCAGAAAAGGTGAGGCGGGTCAAGCGTCTGGCGTGTGCTATAGTCAATTCAGTGGTGGTCATCAGACAGCGCATGGTCAGCGGATGAACAGCAGGGTAACATTTTTGAAACCTTTAACATAACACATGAAATAGGTAATCTTTGAAATGATTTCAGTGAATTGGTGAAATAGTAGAAAGATTTCAGTATTCAGGGTTCTTGCATGCACAGAGCCTGTGCCGCAGATGACTGTATTCCACCCTTTTTTTCCAAAAGTGGCCAACTTGCCACGTGAACATCGTTTTCAGCAACAATTGGGGAGAATTGTTGACAGCTTTCTTTGGTGGAATGTCAAAATACAATTGTATTATTACTACATGTATCTATGGGCCATTTCCTTGTGCCATGAGCCGTAGATTTCGTTTCAATTCCAAGCCACAATCTTGCCAACCGTTTACAGGTGTGTTTGTCCTAATTATGCCTGAATCTTTGGTATGGTGTTTGTTTGCGGCCTTACCAATGTACCTGTTTTTACCCATTATATTTTTTTAAAAAATGGGGAGGGTATTTAAAATAATAATTTACACTACAATTTTTAGCCCAAAATATAAAGATGGGAATCATGATCAATTTAAAGTTTTTGTTAACATGCACTAATATGTAAGACTTTTCAAGAATGTCCTATTCAGTACTGGTTAGCTACCCAATACTACATGATACGTATTTCGCTGGCTCATCTTAGGAGACCTCTGCATGATTTTCTACTTTGAGCCTGCTGAAAAGAAACCTGACTGTTTTTATGTTTGGCCTAATTGATGTCAAAATTATGTTAGACTCGCCATATGCTTTGTCAAGGTTATCTTTTGTTATCATGAGGGTACATGTATATGTAGGCGTGTCCGTGTACCTATGCTGACAGAGACCAAGGGGGGGATCGTTAAATATCACTGACAAATTTCAGGAAATGTTCTTACAGGTTGATGAAGTTACATGTACATGTTATGATGTAGAGGGTGTCAGTGGAAGTTAGAACAGTGAAGGTTTGCTGACAGTTTTTCCCTCTCTGTCTTGTCTACACCAGTCTCTATTCATATATTAGCAAGACATGGCCTCTTCATTAAAGGGTAAAGTGTGCCTGGTGACCGGTGCGAGTCGGGGGATTGGTCGAGGCATCGCACTGCAACTTGGTGAGGCAGGGGCAACTGTTTACATCACAGGTAAAAATAAGTAGTATTAAGGTGGAAGAGTCCTCCGGACAATTAACTGCCATGTAAATGGGGATGGAAATTTACTGGAGTACTCAAAGTGCTCTCATTTTTTCAAGGGAGCACGGGAAGCAGATAAACTGTGCCGTATGCATACACGTACATTGTGTACATGCCAATATTTCAAATTTATGGGGAGGGGGCACATGAGGGGGCAGGTACCGAGTACACCCCAAACTCGACATTGGGGTTATGGCTCTGCCAGCTTGCACGTTTGATGTGTTGTCAGTAGAATAAAATGCTTTATATTGGATCGGATATTCATTTCTCAGGTTGTTTCTATGAATCTACTTTTTTGCCAAAATTGTGAACAAAATTGTATGTGCCTTTGCTACAGAACTTTTTCTCTGACTATACATGTATGTGGCAATCATGAAAATGTATGCTTGTGTCCCATTTGCATATTGTTATTTTCAGTGTGTGTCATTATCCCTGAGCGTGTCTTGTGGTATTCATGCTACATGTAATTCGAATATTCATGAGGAAGTTGCAAAAAGAAAAGGCAGTCTTATTTTTTCATACATTTCACATGTTTCAGAGATATGAATTTTTGCCCCAAAATACAGGTATTGTTGTTAAATTCATTTCTTTATAATAATGTTGTTGCATTGAGGTATTTTTCTTGTTTTTTAAAAGTTTGATTGGCCCTTTATTTGCCTTGAATGTACTTGTTTTACCAAATCATATGATATCCTTTCTTATAAGGGCGAACTCTAAAACCAAAGACAGATGGCACTCCAGGAACTCAGGGGTCTTTGTCTGATACTGCGATAGAGGTAAACTTTAGAAAAAAGTGGTTGCTTAACAGATTTTGATTCTGTCTGATCTTAATGTCAAAGTTTGTTCACTTTTGTAGTGAATTTTTTGCGACATTACAAGAATTTCCAGAGATTCGTTGGTTTGTCAGTCTACGTCAGAAGACAAGCAGAAAAAAAGGTTGAGCTCTGGTACTCACCGTGCATGTACCTGTGAAAACACTGGTCCCTAACACTCACCATGTCGCCTGGATGTCCCAAGTCACCCAGAGATTGCACCCTGTGATATGTCTCATCCTGCCATTTCTCGAGTAACTGTGCTAACAAATGAGCCCTTTGCTTGAGATGTGATTTTTGAATGAGTTGGTTGCAGGATTGTAGATTCCATAGCACTCTCTTTCAACTTTTAATGGACAAAGGAATTGAAATATTTGACTGAAATTTGTGAAATTGCACCTTTGTGTTTCAGTTAACCTCGTTTTCCATTTTTGTTTATTATTTTTATCTGTACTTCGGAGCCCCTTGGTTTTTATTCTAATATGACTTAGCATATTCATAAGCAGAACTGCGATATGATCCAAGGTACTGAACCTCAATGTTGCGTTGATTTGTTCACCAAAAAATGCTAGATTTTCATATACTTGTACAAGTTTCACTGTCAAAGATTTCCTTTGTCAATTTACTGTTGTGTACATGTAAGTATTTTCAAAGAGCTAATTGGGGGCTCAACATTTTACGTCACCCTAACTGGTGTGGAAAAGCTTTGTGAATTTTGAATTAAAAAAAAATGCACTTGAAGCCCTCCAAAAAGGTTTGGACTAGTTCCATACATTGCCAAAGAGTTTAAGCATGCACAAAAAGTCATTCTAAGAAATATCTCAGGCATCGATTCTTTAAATATTACGGTCATGTTTAGAAGTAAACAGTGAAGTCAGTAGCAAGCAGTTTCTCCACAGCTTTCATGTTTCAAAACATTGGACCTACATGTATACTTTTGAACGGATGAGCAGATTGAAGCTCGCGGTGGCAAATGCATCCCTGTGCAGTGTGATCACTCTGATGATGAGCAGGTCGAGAAGGTGTTCCATCGTATCGCCAGTGATCAGGACGGACGGCTGGATCTCCTTGTCAATAATGCGTATGCAGGAGTCAAAGTAAGAGATGTCCGCGTTTGCCAGTAATAAGGGCTATTTGTCTACATACTGGTTTTTTAATAAGGAAATAAAAATGTGCTTGATTGTTCTTAAACATGCATCTAAGACTGGCTCAGGAGAATGGATGTGATTCATGCCCGAGCCGCATTATCAGCATTCATACATGTATTTATTCCCATTCATAAATACCAATTTTTTGGTTAGAGAGTCAAAAGAAGTCAATATATAATGGATTTCAAATGATTTTGTCCCAGAATTTTGCTTTCATCCTGAACATCCCAGTCCATTTTATGGTATATTCCTCATGTAAGTTGTACAAAAGAATCTCCTTATATGGGCTTGGCGTGCGTGTAGTGAGCCGCGTGCATGTAGACTCTTGACCAATCAGACTCCATTAAACTGTCTGGTATCCAGGTGCCACTGTGTGATTTACACAGCGGGCATTATCAAATGTTAAATGTTGCATGTTGTTGAGTAGTGAAACTGTCTGAGTTACACATATTTATGAGTGATTGTTTTGGTTGAATGCAGGTACATGAAAGTTTTCATTGGTGCCGTGAGATGTATATCTCTTTTACAAGTTTAGGAGGTTTTGAAAAGATGCAGGGAGCTTTCAGGCAGTGTTTTCTGAGAGAACCCTGATTCGTTGTGCATTGTACATGTATCTTTGTTTTCTGTACGACAGCTTTTTTCCCTGGGCATTAATGAGCTGTTTCTTTGGCAGGATATATTAGAAACCACTGGAAAGCCATTTTGGGAGGTACCATCATCCGTGTGGGATTCAGTGAACAACGTGGGATTAAGGTGAGCTCAGGTGAAATCCAATGAAGGAACTGTGTGAAGAGATTGAAGATCTGTGGTCTTTGTGCCTTTCCCCCTGGATCAACTTTGTTACTGCAGAAAGTCATCAGCCTAAGTTTATCTTGTCCATGGGAAAAGTTTCCTGAACCAAAATCCATATCTGTCAAAATTGAAGTTTTTCGTTTATGAGAAGGTTGCAAGATTGAGGTACATGTGTCGAGCCAAGCATCTAATTCATTTTAATACACCGTCATATTAAAATTGAAGGCCATGTCCAATTGAAAGAGCTCAAACTTGCGAATTTTGGGAAGTTGGCAAGGTTTCAGCCACAGGCATGTTTTTGCAGTTAACAATTACTGTTTCATGCAGAGCTAAATACAAACTAAATATTCAGCATTTATAAGCAACCATGGCAACTGGCAGCTTGGACCCTGCAGTGAATAATTTTTCCTGCACACTGGAGGATTTTGGACTTCCAACCCTGCTAACCCTAATTAGCTGGGTTATTTTGGCCCATCTCACAGCTGAGGGGGAGGGGGGCAGACTCCACCCCCTCCCCAAGAGCTCGGCTGTGCCTCACTCGATTTTTTTTAACTTGGTATGTAAAGACACTCCTTATCGTTACAAATGTGAAGTTTGAACTCAATCAGATGTATGGCTTTATTTTTACGGTCATTTGAAGCTCATGGCTACATGTACATGTATGTGCATGCCAGTACGTGTGCGTTAAGCTCTGCAGTGGAAAAAGTGTACAGTTGTGCTGACCTGTCTCAGAAAAATGTGTGTTGAGGAAGAACAGTATGTTGGTTTTTGCAAATTTGGTGTCAAAATGACCCAAAGAGTTACTCTGAACACTCCTAAAAGCTCAACCCCGGAAAAAATGCACTAAGGCAATATCAGAAAAATATTAAGGTCTGCCCCCCCCACCTTTTAGGGTTTAGACGCCTTCAAAATTGCCAAGGAAGTAGGGTTAAACATTGTAGGGTTTAGATTGGGATGTCTTGGGTTGAAAATTTGCTGGAACAATTTCAAACTCTTCTTTGAAATGTCAAGTGTGCCCCATGGCCCAAGCAGTTGGATGACATCTATTGAAATGACCTTTTTTGTCACCAGAGGTCATTACATTGCTACTTGGCATGCTGCCAAGATGATGGCACCAGCCAAGCAGGGTCTCATCGTCAACATATCCTCAGCAGGTGGCTTGAGTTACCTGTTCAATGTTGCCTATGGAGTTGGAAAAGCTGGGGTGAGTGGAAGATTTACTGCAGTCACATTGATATGGTTGTTGTGGACTCTGTATTGTTGGTGCACGTGTACCTTCTATGCTGCGGCGCCTAACATGGGCCACTTTGACCTTTTGCCTTAAATTTCACAAAAAGTAAAATTTCATCAAGCTTGGCAGATTTCCATTCATAAATCTTGAGTTTGTGACCTGCTACCTAGTTTTAATAACGTTCTACTTTAGCCTGATTTTTCCAAGTTTGTTTTCTGATGTACACTATGAACTCTTTTAAATGGACCCGAAAAAAACAATTTTTTACAAACTCATAGTTGGGTATGTAAGTAGAAGTAATTTAGTGATTTTAAAAAAATTCTTAAATGCTAATGTGGAATTTCCTGACATTTGTTCAAGTGCGCCACTTTAGGCAACACCCAGCTGCAAATTATTCCCAATTTCTAGACACCACTGTTATGCATTCCAGACTAGATTTCACAACACTTCAATTGTTCACTGAGGTTTAACAGCATGTAGTATGCCAGTACTTAACTTGAATACATTTGTTTAATTAAAAAAAAAGAGTTTTGGCAACACTGAACGAGGCATGTCAAGGGAATCATCAAGGAGCAGCGCATTAGGGGACTCCACATTATAACAAACAGGGCCCTCGGGAGCATGGTAGTGTGAAGGTTGACACAGTCACTGGTGTAGCAACGTCCTGCTGTTAATGTATTGAAACTTGATGCGTGAAAGAGAATGCATGGTTTTATCCAGAGGCTAGCGAGGTCAATACGATTCTGATTCATCGGCAAATATAATTGCAATGCCTGCAAGTGGGAGCAATACTGGTGTGGCATGTCCTGTTGTGGTGGGGAGAGGTTGTTCCCCCTTCTCCACCCCCCCTCCCTTGTGACATGTTCCTTTTAGGGGTAGGAGGTTAAAGGAACTGAAAACCTGAAGCTGGATATGGGATGGAGAGACTCCCCTGTGTGTTGGTCATTGTTTGACCGGAATCCGACAAGTTCTTTTCAAACATCAAGGGGGAATGTGTTAGGTAACAACAGTCTAGAGCGTCTGTAACGTTTGGACATGTAGGGGACTCTCTTCCCTCCCTTATCTTGCCAGTAATAACTAAAGGCATCAACCCTTTTAGAAATAACACTTGCCCCTGTCTTTATTCTACTGAGTACAGACCAACCATAGGTCAAAATGAACCTCTTTAGCAACACCCTTGTGTGTCCAGCGTTGACGTTATTTACTTATCCTGTGTTTTTTGTACATTCAGACACATATTCTTTATCTGGTGGATTAGAAATAGACTGGTATAATGTCTCACATGCACCTATGATGGTGCTTATGAGTATCAGTTCTTTGCCTCGTCATGAAACTGTGGTATCATTATCATTCTCCTACGCGCACTAAGAAATGAGTACAATGCTAGCAGTGCATGTACATGTGTAAGTTGTCAGTGTATTACATGTACATGTAGTTCTATCATCACCTGCAATAATCACAGAATCATCATGGACCAGAGAACTGTCCTTCATTGGTACCACAGTGTTGTAGTCGAGCAGTGTCTGAGTGACAGGCTTACTATGCAACATCGACTTGGCATTGTTTCAATAAAGATGAAAAAACAGTGGCAATGGACAGTAGGTAACTTAAATGATGTCAAGTATCGTTACAAAAAATGAATGCGCAAAGACTCGGAGTATCGCGCTCTTGTAAAATTGAGATCAGCTCAGCAGATTTTAAAATTAATTAGCTTTCAATCTCCTGAATTTTTTGTAATTGTTGAATGTGAAAAACAAGGCGTACAACAAACTAAGATGTACTCATTCTATTGGCAGTGTGACCGAATGGCCGTAGATTGTGCTGTCGAACTAAGGAAACATAACGTTGCCTGCATCTCATTGTGGCCAGGCCCTGTCAAGACGGAGATGTTCCAGGAATTCATGACCACCGATGGATTTACTGGCTTGGATAAAGGCATTGTGAGTTCAGAGTTGTCTGCTTGCATTCATGATGTATAAAAGAATGTATAAAAGAATTATATAATTGTTTCAATCTTCTTTTTTTCAGTGTTATTACAGAGCCTGAAAGTAAAAGGTTACTCAGCGAGTTTCCGAACCCTTGCGCGGTCCTTCATGGGGATTTTACATTGGGCTGTCCCATCACATACGATAATTTTTGGAAGAATAATTCCTAACTGAAATCACCCCAAGAAACACTCATGTTGGAATTTTACCTTTATCTTCCTCCGGTAATATTTAGGAAAAGTCACCTGGAGATGGGTAAAAAACGAATTTTCTTATTGACTTTTCACATCCGGCGATATCGTACCTAGGTCTCCATGTTAAAGCGTGTTTGTTTTCACTACCCCTGCTTGAAACTCGAAAATGAGATTGTACAACGTTGCAAAGATTTACCTACTCGCAGTCGATGGGTTTGAGATTCCGTTGAGTTGACATCATCACGCAGTTGTTGTCAGCAAAGCTTTAATAGATAAAAAGATTAGAATCATTCGTAATTAAAGTAGAATATTGCTTTAAGTTTATTACTTATTAATTGTAAGACTGTGTTAAATATTTCGATCTGTTTTTATTTTGGCTCTTACAGACAGACTGCCATAAAATTTCAAACCGTAAATGTTCACCTGCGTACGAGACTGCCTCATTGCACTGTTCTTCATGTTTTTTAGATTTTCAGAAATGATAGGTCAGTTTTTGGCAGGATATTTCTCTTTTAGGTCAGGTGACTTTTCAGTTTCTATAAATTGATATACTAACAAATATTTTCCAAAGCCCCTTTTCTGAGTTGGATTTTTTAAGAAGTAACTGAATGGAAATTACTACAAATTCTATAATCTTTGCACGTTATTTTTCCCGTCCAAGGGTTCCGGAAGTGCGCCATCAAGGGTCAACTTTCAGGCTCTATTCTCTTCTCCAAGATTAAAGTTTCTGATTAGTGGATATATCACTAATTGTTACATTCAAACATTTGTCATTCAAAGCTGTTACTGTTAACCCCTTTACTTGCATGTAAAAAGCAAATAACATAAGATTGTTGGATTCTCCATAGCAGATTTTGGTGTGAAAGAGACGCTTCAAATTCATTGTTTTGCATTTGGATGAATTTTTTTTTATAGCAATTTGCTTTTCAAGAGGGAGAATCAGTTGAGTTTGCTGGCAAGGCCATCGTCCATCTTTTGCAAGGTAGGAGATACAGTCACCTGGTCTTTGAATCAATCCTGTTCAACATTATGCACCCAATTTACCTTTTTTACAAGTTCGCCTTATTGAATTGAAAGTGAGGTTATCATTTTTTGGGGGGGGGAACCAAAGTAGAAAAATGTAAGTGATGAAATAACGGTTCATTACAGATTAGTTTCATGTGATGATGACTAATTTGAAATATGTGATTAATTGTACCTGTATTTAAATGTTGTAAGCAGCAACAAAAAAAGTGAGGTGTAGAACCCCAAATAGAGTGGCACCATCGCACCATGGTTACATTGAATGAGATAGATTCAGGGAACACGATTAAAACTGGTGTCCTTGCGTATAAGGTCTCTTGTAGTTGTGGTCTGCGCCATCAGGAACTGGTTAACTGCACCCTGAGATTCAACAAACTGCACCCGACCACACTAGAATCAAGCAGAAAAAGGGGAGATCTCATTCAAATACCTACAGAATCATGACTCGCGTTTCAATCCAGACTCAAAATATTTCAGAAATCTTGATGACCAGGGCTCTGGAGGACCGACATTTACAGCAAATTCAGATCCAGACTTGATGTCAGATAGCACTTTAACCGCCAAAGGGTATAGGGGATCCATGTACATGTATATAGCTGGAACGAGTTGGCTGAGGGTGCCATTCAAACACCCAGACCTCTCTGCTTCAAACAGATCAAATTGAAGTAACTTGACATTTTCACTGGCAAAATGAGGCCCTGTGTCCCTGCCATACTTCTCTTTTACACGACATGAAGATGGAAGTGTGGCCCAAGGGCTGATCTAGAATCAAATTTTTTGGGGGAAGGGAGCAAACTTGTTTTGGGTGTCCACAAATTCTGGAAATCTTTCATGTAAATTTTTCACGGCTTTTCTGAGGATAAGGCTACATTTGGGCTTTTTGCACACCTTGGGAAGAGAGAGAATTGAAACAGCCACAATTTGCCTTTCCCTCATTAAAAAAAACGGTTTGGTCATTTTTTTGGGGGAGCGTGGCTTCCACAGATGCGCCCTTGGTGTGGTCTTCAAGGTATGCATAAAGTATGTTTACCAATGGAAATATGAAATGCCCCAGTTGCTAGGAGAGGAGTAACTGACATTATTTCTGCTGTTTGTCTATGCCCTGGTGCCCCTGGTAAAAATTTAAAAAAAAGAGTGTGCTCATTTAAGTGAAAATTAGCCCATTTAGACCTGAAAACCCAAGGTTTTGTGTGTACCCCAGCCTGGCTTTCATGAGAAGGGCACACATCTGCTGCATGTTCCGTGCACACTCAAAGCAGTTTTTCACGCTGTTAATTATTCTGTGTTTTTCTCCAACCTGTGTACCGGTAAGAATGTTTGTTGCAAAGCCTGCTACTCCAAAGTGGTTTAACAAGTGTAACTGTTGAGGAATTTATTGTCACTAGAGTGTATCTACCATGAGTTGAAAGCAGAGTAAAGTTGAATGTATGCATTCAAGAAAGCGAAGGGAATTTTGAAGGAGAGGGTAGCAGGCATGTGGATAAACTGGTGCTCAGAACTGCCCACTAATTGTGTAGATTTCTCAACCGGCTTGAGATTAATTCATGTCTACCATTCAAATGTCTAGTGAAAAAATTCCTCCCATGTGCAGACGAGAATATCATGAAGAAATCCGGCCGCATCCACATGACCGGAGAGCTTGCTGACGAGTATGGCTTCAGAGACATCAATGGAGCATCACCGATGAACTTTAGGCGGGTGAAGACCCTCTTCCAGTTGACCGGCCACCCTTGGCTGGCTGCTGCCATGCCCTCATTCCTCAAGGTACCCTACTGGATGATGACATTAGGAAATAGCAAATTTTAATATAAAGCCACGAAGGTGGAGAAGTCTTTTAGTCTGGATTTTGTCAGCATTTTCTTGTGCTAGGTATTTACGGCTTCAGTGCAGGGTAGAGCATGTTCCAATGTTTGATCCTTGAGCAACAAAATTTTCTGTCACACCAGTTCGTCAAATTAGTTACCGGTACGTGCTATGTTTGACAATCTGACTGAGTTTTTCACTTTACCGTCTGGCTATCAGAATAAAGGCATCCTGATACACCAGTGGAACCATTAGTGTTTTTTGACTCGTTGAAGATCAGACAGTAGAGACACACCGTTGTCGGTGTTTTCTAGGTCATCCGTCAAATGTGCCAAATTGTTGAAAACACTACACGGCCTCATATTGTAGCAAACCAACCTGAAACATTGACAGACCATTTTTATTTTCAGGTGTAAACCACAAGCTATGTCTTGTTCTGTAGTTGAATATCTGACACTGTCGGGTGTAGAGTACCGAAGTGAATTTATCACACACACAATGATGTGTGTAAAAGGCATTAGTGCAAGAACCAGCGTGTGAACTAACATTCGTTAGTACTACACCTCCTGGTTCAAAATGATATCACTTTTTGGTACCCTTTAAGGTTAATGGGCATCACAAAGTGGAGGGGAGGCGAGGGAGGGGCTTACTCCGTCATTCCCCCCACTTCCAAATGGAAACATTGAATCAAGGGAAAAATAAAACAAAACGGGAAAAACACCAAAAACAAAAGAGGAAAGGGGATTAATATCTGATATTAATAATGCTGGAAAATAGCTTGGCATTTACCCCCCTCCACCATTCATAGTTTTCTCAGTTTGCTGCTGAATGCCCCCCCCTTTTTTTTTGAGTGAAAAATTATTCCCGCCTTCCTAGCAATGCCCATTGTGAGTCTTGGTGAGTTCAAATCTTGCATTGGTCAACCTGTCTAATTTCTGTGCCCTGTAACTTTTATCATTTAGACCTACCTTTTAATATGCCACACTCCAGATATTTAGGTCCATCTTGATGGTGGTATATAGTGGAAATAAGCTCTACACTTTCCATCGAAACTTTAAGCTTGCTGTCTTCATTGTGATTCAGTGCCAGGGAATTTATTATTTAACCTGGAAGAAGATAGATGGAATTTCAAGCTATTCATGGTGACAGACAGCTAAGGTTGAAAGCTTGCAGTAGCACCATGCAAGGATACGATCTCTTTGTGAGTCTGTATGGTTCTGAGTTTCCTCACAGTTCTTTTCAGAACCAAGCAAACTCGCAAAGAGATCGTATCCTTGCATGGTGCTACCGCAAGCCTTCCACCTTAACTGGAAGAAGATGTCAAACAGTATTAAACATGGTTTTGTTTAGCATGGTTGCTGTGATTTATGTAATTTTTAGATTCACAAGTCTTCCAAACGCATGTACAAATCAGTTGGACAATCAAAGTGTAGACTTTTTTAAAAGCATTCACAGAATTTGGCGATATTTCTGTATCAGTTTAAAAAGTTTTTAAAATGTATTGCTCAACAGCAGACATGGTAAAATGTTTAAATTTTTGCCCTTGATCTTTTTACTGAATAAATGAATATATACAATGCATTATAAGAACTAGATTTTAAAAATCAAATTAGCGTTAGAGATATTCCAGCTGAATTAATATAATCTTTGAGATGGTTTATTAAAGGTGTTACAGAAAGTCAGTTTTTGTAATACTATTTTGTCAAATTTATGATAATAGTCCTTTTGTTATCGTAGTAAATCTTTCATTCAGCTTTTCACGAGGTGGGGCTTTCAAGCTTGGTGGTTTGATGAAAATACCAGGCACAAACACAACCATGGGTAAATGTTGTTTTGGGTCCGTTACTGCCATCATTGTATGCAGAGATGCGTTTCAGTTTAAAAACATGAATTAGATCCTTCCCTGCCCTTTCTCCCAACCTCTTCCAAACTATGCGTCGCTGCCCCCAGTAACATTGTAATAAAAGTAATCATTAGAAATGATTGGGCGTTGGACCATGAGATTCGTTTTTAAAAAATTCATGAATACCTCAGATGGTCTCCCTAAACGTGCAACCTGATAATGCCCGCTGAGAAGTGATAATGCCGCTGCGTAAATCACGCGCTGGTACCTGGATATGTGAGAGTCGACTCTGATTGGTCAAGAGTCTGTATGCACACGTGCGCGCCAAGTCCATGTAAGGAGATTCTTTTGGACAACTTGCTCAAGGAATATATCATAAAAATGGAATTATAAAGACCTGGTCAAAATGGTTCATAACACGTAACAATACTATTTGTTCTGAGTCATCACACGAAGCGTACAAATGTGTGTTCATTTGAATCAGAAAATCGTATTTGTATAAGTTTTGCTATTTGGTTAACAAATGATTAACAGAAACGAGGGGGGATTTTTCCATTAAAAATAATTCAGAAAAACAACTTGGAGATTTTTTCACCCTAGTCATTCACATTGGTGACAGATGAAGTTCCTTACCATGCTCTAATGAAAAGGAAATTATTTGAATAAATACGGAGCTTTGGAAGTGCCATCCGATTTGTTGATGTCTATGTCGACATCTCAATTTTTTTTTCACGAGATGACAACATTCTGAAAGTAGGATGTCGACTTCCTTAGAGAATTAATCGCAGCAAGACGACATCCTGAAAACAACGAAGTCGGAAGAGCCCGTGGAGGGTAATTTGTAAGGTAGTCCTTGGAAATGTACCATGGCCCCATTCAACTTTTTTTGAGGGGGAGGGGATTTTGTGGTGTCAATATTTGGAGACATCGGGGAACTTTGGGGTTTTATGCGTTTGAAATTTTTGTACGAGTAAGAGTGTGATTTAAGTTACAACTTGAAGGAAATCTCAGTGTTACATCAATTTCACCAACAATACCTGAGGAAGATTGATTGTTTTGCTGTCTTTTAATGTTTGCATGATTCGTTGCTGTTTAAGTACATCACACTGCAGGCCTACTGACCTGAAACGATCGATCGACGTGACTGCCGTGCATGAGGACCAGAATCACGCCAGAATCACGTCTGAACTTCTGAGACAACTGTGATGAAGTGTAACTTCGTTGTGCCCCGTTGCTTGTATATGAAGAGTACGTCATCCCCAGCAGAGAGGATAGCTGCCACATCCGGCAGCTGATACAGACTGACTCGGGGCTAGATATTGACGTGCCACTCCGGATTGAAGAGTGTCTTCAGCATGCCAAGGAAGCATCATTATTATATTTGTGTCAGGAGCGGAGAGGAAAGGTGATTGAAATGGGGAGAAAGGTCAGAGTTGTTCTGTCAGTTTTCGCTGGTGGCGTTACTCGGCGTTGGGGGTCAGATTTGTAGAGAGAGTAACGACATGAATGTCTTAATGTTTGGAAGCAAACTGTTGATTATGCACTCGGTGTGCACATGGGCAATTACTGTACACCTATTGAAACGGTCAGTGTCCTGCGTTCACATACCCCTGCCCAGCCTACATATGCAAATTTCCTATGTGCCTATTACAGTTCGCAGAAAGACTTGATTATGCATGCTGCCCCTTGACCCTCTACAATGCACTGCGGTCCCGCCGCCATGTTTGTCCTTCTTTTCTCAGCGCCTATCGTTTACGGACGTGTCTTTTATGGCATTTTCGGAGTTTGTGTTCCGTAGCTTTCGCGTTTGTGAATTGACTTGATTCCTCTCACAAAATAAAGAGTGATTTCGTATCTCTTGGTAAGAATGCTTATTCTAATATTTCGTTCTTTGCATGCTGTGGGTTTTTTGGTTCTCGCACCGTGCCCCTGGTCCCTCCTGGGGACGGCGCTGGTGACTACTTCCATTCGTCTTCGGCGGCCGCCGATCTCGAACCCGTCGGCGGCCGTCTGGGCAGTTTCATTGGGTTCTGGCGGGAAATCACCGCGGACAGCTGGGTCCTCTCCACCACTGCCTACGGCTACTCCCTCGAGTTCACGAATCCCCCCTCCCGCCGTCTGGGATGGTCTTCTGTGCCTCCCCTGTCCCATGCAACGAGTCCAAGCACCTGGCTCTGGAGGAGGAGATTTCAACGTTATTACACAAACGAGCTGTAACGCCGATACATCCAAACCAGCTATCCACTGGTTTCCTGTCGTCCTTTTCCTGACACCCAAGAAAGAAAATGGCGACCGATAATCAATTTGAAACCGCTCAACAAGTTCATCAAGCCAAGGCGGTTTCGAATGGAGACACTTAGCGTGGTTCTTCGCTCCCTACCAGTCCCGTGTTGTGCCACCTCCAAAGATCTACGGGACGTGTATCTCCATATCCCAATACATGAACAGTTCCGCAAGTTCCTCCACTTCAAGTACTGCGGCCAAACCTACCAGTTTTGGGCCCTTCAATTCGGCTTCTCAACCTCACTAAGGGTCTTTACCAGGATCACTAAGACTCTCGCCACCTACCTACGAAGGTGCGACGTTCTCATTTTTTAATATCTCCACGACTGGCTGATCGTCGGTCACTCCCCTGACGGGGCCAGAGCCTGCACTCCTCTCACCCTCGATGTCACAACACACCTGGAGTTCCTCATCAAATCGGCCCTCGACCCATCACAGCGGCTGACCAACCTCAGAGCGGTCCTCGACCTTCATAGAGGCATCCTCAATCTACAACAATGTGTCCTTCATATTTTGAAAGCCGAGGCACCTCCGGCGCTAGCCTGGCTCCGTCTTCTTGGACTAATGGCCAGTTTGGTCAAGGTCAACCTCGTCCCATGGTGTCGACAGCAGATGCTGCTACTTTAACTACATCTCTTGTCCCGGTACCGCCCCAAGAGCGACCCAATTTCTGCCTCGATCCCTCTTCCGCTGGAGGTTTGCAATCACCTCCGGCGGTGGACCGGCAACGAGCACCTGTCAACTGGTCGACCTTTCGTTCCCCCAGACCGAACCTCACAATAGCAACGGACGCATCGCTATTCGGATGGGGGGGGCCTCCCTTCCTCCATTTCACGCATCCGGGGTTTAGGACTCTTCCTTCCACAACAAACAAATCAACCTGCTGGAACTTCAGGCAGTATTCAATGCTCTTCGCCACCTCCAGCAGCACTCAGTGGGTCTCTCGTTTCGAATCCAGAGCGACAACTCCACAGTGGTGGCGTATCAACCACCAGGGCGGCACTCGCTCCCCTCAACTTTGCGTCCTTACGTGGCAGATCTTCATGTGGGCAATCGATCATGGAAGCTCCCTCCAGGCCACTGACATAGCAGGAACAACCAACAGCACAGCAGACGCTCTTTCCCGAGGCACTATCCATCCGACGGAATGGACTTTTCATCCAGGCGTGGTCAGTCAGATCTTCGCGGAGATCGAACGTCCCCATGTCGACCTTTTCGCATCGGCCGACAATACTTATCTTCCGACGTTCTGCTCCAGGTTTCCTCACCCACGAGCCTGGGCGACCAACGCTCTACAAGTTGACTGGTCCGGCCTTCTGGCGTACGCCTTTCCTGCGATCTCTCTCATCCCGCTGGTTATATCCAAGATAGAGCAAGAGACATACCAAATTCTCCTCATCGCCTCATTCTGGCCTCGCCAATCGTGGTTCCCGAGACTGACAAGGCTCCTGGTTCGTCGACCACTGATCCTTCCGCCCAGGGTGGACATTCTTCATCAGCCCAGGTCAGGAATCCTCCATCCAGCATGGAGCAATCTTCATTTGATGTGCTGGATATTGTCCAACGATCGTTCAGAGCATCAGGCCTCTCTGCAGACGCTGCGTCCATGGTGGCCCGGGCCTACGACCGTCCACACGCAAAATCTACAACAGTCGACTTCAACATTTTACTAGATGGTGCGACGACCACAATGTTTCTCCAACTGAAGCTTCTGTGAGCTCCGTTGCAGACCTTTTCATGTATCTGTTTCACTCGGGCCTCCAGATTGCCACCATCCGCAACTACTGTTCGGCCTTGGCGGATGTTCATTAGGGGTCCAGCGATGGATTAACGGTTTCTGATAACGCTTCCATCCACCACCTCCTTTGGAGAATGTTTGTCGAGCGTTCTCACGTCAAACGATCTTGGGACCTTGGAAGCGTCTTGCGCATTATCTCCGGTCCCCCCTTTGAGCCCCTTTCTGATGCATTTGGCCTCCAGCTCAGCATCAAACTGGCGTTCCTCCCAGCGGTCGTCACTTCTAGACGTGGCAGCGAGCTACATTCTCTGTCAACTGCCGAAGGTCAAATCCGCTGGGAACCGCACGGGGTTCGCCTCATCCCAGCCATTGAGTTCCTGACAAAGAACCAGACGCCTGTCTTCCGGCCTCCCGATATATTTGTCCCTGATATAGCCTCGCTTTTGGGAGATAACTCTGACAAGAAATGGTGTCCGGTTCGCACTCTCAAGTAGTACCTCGCCAGGACCAAGCATCGCCTGGAGCCTGGCTCCAGACTCTTCATCACAACAACAAAGCCCTTTCATCCAGCGTCAAAGGACACTATTGTCCAATGGACAGTCTCGTCCATCATTTTCGCAAACCAGGACTGGCTGACACGACATGACGATACGACCCGATCTCACATCAGAGCCCATGATGTTCGGGCCGCTTCCGCATCCTGGTCATACTTCAGAGTTGTTTCCTTGACGGAAATCTGCCGAAGCGGCTTGCTGGAGATCCCCCTCCACCTTCACTGAGTGCTATCTGAAGGATGTTCTGCGGAGCGAGACGGCTCATGGCGTAGCGACCTTGCACTCGGCGGTCGGGACAGCATCCATCACTGTCCCACACCGGACAATGAATTCCTCATCGTAGAAACCTCTTTTTTTTGGTGAGTGTTCGCTTTAAGAGACGCCCGCCTGTGTTCTCTGGCAACTATTCTCCCGTCGCCGACCCTCCTCCAGGGTATGGTGCCACTCTGCATATGTAGGCTGGGCAGGGGCGTGTGAACGCAGGAGACTCCTCCCCCACATTAGTGTGGGTCGGGTCTCCTAGTGATACTTACCCAGCCGCTCCCTTCCCTCCCTTCACCACTTTGGCTCCTGAGATTTCTCCGCTTCGAAAAGAAGGACGAACATGGCGGTGAGACCGCAGTGCATTGTGGAGGGTCAAGGGGCAGCATGCATTATCAAGTCTTTCAGCGAATTGTAATAGGCACATGGGAAATTTGCATATGTGGGTAATTTCACTAGGAGACCCGACCCACTCTAATGGGGGGGGGATTTTGGTGCCTGGCCAAGTCTGAAGTTGCACTATACTCTGTATACAGCTCTACGGGGGTTAGAGTTGTTAAGAAGGTTGGCGCTGTACTCTCTCTGTTCAAGCTGGAACGAGTGTGGCGGACCCAGCTTCTTTTGTTTTAGGAAGTGACGGCCGAGACAAGTCAGGAATGGGACATCGCTCTTTTGTTGGAAAAAAAAACCTAACAGAAGTACCGGTACTGACCCCTCCCCCATCTGAAATTTTGAATTGGACATAAGTTGTGTACAAGCCCCAGTTAATATGTTGTCAGTGCTAGTCGTCACCCCTCAAAAAGTCGGCTCCCCGCCTGAGTGCCCCCCTCAGAAAGTTCACTCTAAACGCCCCCCCCCCGATTTAGGTTGCAGGTCATGGGCTCGGTCCAAAAGTGTTGCGATGACGCGGTTTTTCCCGTCTCAGAAGAGATGTGTATACACATATACTTTAGAGTGCATGGCCTTGTTACTATGAGAAGTATGAATTAACAACTTTAAATCAATAAAACAACATAAAAATGACAAGAGGCACTGGTTTCAGTCATCTCACTCAAAGAAGAAGCTTCTATTCTTGGCAAGATTTAGCTTGATAAAACAGAGTAGTGCAACCTTATTGGAAAAATGAAATATGAAAAATAAATTTTCAGCTCCACTTTCTGGTTTGAAATGAAATTATCTTGAGGTAGCAGTATATGACATTCTTTGCAAATTCTGCTCAGAAAATAGAATCCCCTCTCACTCTAATCTACTTTTGTTCTTAGCAAGTGACGATGCACGAGTCGTTACATATATCGTTGTCATAACGAGATGTCCATCTCCGCTGCATGCACCGTGCGCGCATACCCGCGCACGCATAGGATTTCTTGAAGAACTAGCTAGCTCATGTCGCGACGGGTCAATTATGATAGTTCATGTTCTTTCACCCTGGTGACGGGGGCAAGTCGGGGAATCGGCAAAGGAATCGCCTTGCAGCTTGGAGAAGCCGGGGCAACAGTCTACACCACGGTTACTGACAAACAGGACGCAGTTTTGTGGTGAAATTACCGCACAACATGATTTTGAATGTCGCGTCTAGCTATTCATGTTCCACTTAACAAACGGGAATTTGCCGTGCATGCACATTCGTAATGTATCTTTCCACCCACGCATAAGATTTCGCTGATTCATGCTCTTATCATTTATAACTGCAGTAGAGCTGCGTTGCTAGGTCTCGTATTTGGAGTCTAAAGTAAAGTAAACTCATCATAGTGACAACTCAAAACATACTGTGATGTCCAGCTAATATTTGTTTGTTTGTTCCTGCTAATTACAATATCAAAACAGCTTTTATGGAGCCTAACCTAAACCTTTCTTTGGAAATTTTATGGCCGATAAATCACCAGTCAGTTTTTCTCACCAATGTGTCGGCTTAATGGTAACTTAATTCAGCCATTAATTATGCCGTTATAATTCGCTGTTAGAATTCAAGATGTATATTGTTACACTAACCTTTACATGGTTGTAAACGTTCAAAACCTGTCTGTTTTAGCTTATAAGAGACAAGTTGCATATAAAAAAATTGGGGGAAATCAGCTCAGAAAATAAAATCTCCTCTCACCCAGTCTACTTTTGTTCTTAGCAAGTGACGATTCATGAGTCGTTACATGTATCGTTGTGCACCGATCCGACTACCCACTATTACTTACAAGTGAGGCCTGTGCAGCAAAATAGCCATGCTCCAACTGTGATGCTAAAATAATAATTATATTATCGTATGATGCAGTCCGCAAACTTACAAGTGAGGCTGTTTCAAGCAATCTGCTTGCAAACATTCGTGGCGCTGACCAGCCTCACTTTAAGTGTGCCTACTCTATTGCACCATACGATTAGTATCACAGTTAGAGCATGGCTATTTTGATGCGCAGACCTCCCTTATATGCGCGGTGGGTAGTCGGATCGGATGCGTTGTCGTATACCGCGATGTCCATCGCCACTGCGTGCACTGCATTCGTATGTACCGCCACTGCTTCACCAACACTGAAATAGACTCAAAAGACCTCCTTATTAAAAATGTTATCGTTCCGACTCAAAATAAATCTCTGAAATCAATGCATCAAGGGTTAATCTTTAAATTGGTGCTTGATTTTTGTCTCAGAAGACTTATTTCTATTAAAAAGTAATCGATGAAATTAGTGGAAAATTTAGCAATTTCGACTTTTTTTGTTGTATGTTAGTAAAATCTACTTTGTTATACTGTTCTGAGATTTAACATTATTTAAAATCTTCTTAATGGAGGAAAAGTGTGTGTTGTTCGTGGTGTCCTGTTTAGATCCTCCCGAAATTTATTGATGCTTTTACACTCTGGTATTTTACGCGGTCAGTCGTTGAAAAATTCCGCGCCATAACGTCGTCTGCTTGCACGAAAAATCGTTGCCTGGTTTGAAAATGAGGTACGCATGCGCGCTTGCAAAGAACGTTGTTTCTATGGGGCATGAACATACGTGATGTATGGAGGCCTATATAGGGGGATTCCTTCACCGTACAAATTACTCAACCCCACTCATTAACAACGCGTTAAAATCGCGCGGTAGCAGAATTCCTCCTGATCAAGTAAGTTTGGCGGCTTTTGGAAATCGTTTTATGCAAAATAAAGAACTTTTTTATTTTGCCGACGTGTAGGTCTACTACGTCAACGCACACATTGAGACGAAACCGGGACTTTTTTAGCCTTATAGTTTCACGATTTGAACTACTTTTTCGGTAATTCACGTCCTTTTTGAGCCACCGTAACGAAAAGTGTCTGATCACGGTACATAGTACAACCTGAAGAGCTAGCTAGCTCATGTTGCGACGGGTCAATTATGATAGCTCATGTTCTCTCACCCTAGCCCTGCGTAGAGATAGATCATCATGGCCAGCAAGCAACTATCTGGCAAAGTTTGCCTGGTGACAGGGGCAAGTCGGGGAATCGGCAAAGGAATCGCCTTGCAGCTTGGAGAAGCCGGGGCAACAGTCTACATCACGGGTATTGACAAACAGGACGCAGTTTTGTGGTGAAATTACCGCGCAACATGATTTCGAATGTTGCGTCTAGCTATTCATGTTCCACTTAACATACGGGAATTTGCTGTGCATGCACATTCGTAATGCATCTTTCCACCCACGCATAAGATTTCGCTGATTCATGCTCTTATCATTTATAACTGCAATAGAGCAGCGTTGCTAGGTCTCGTATTTGGAGTCTAAAGTAAAGTAAACTCATCAGAGTGACAACTCAAAACATGCTGTGATGTCCAGCTCATATTTGTTTGTTTGTTCCTGCTAATTATAATGTCAAAACAGCTTTTATGGGGCCTAACCTAAACCTTTCTTTGGAAATGTTATGGCCGTTAAATCACCAGTCAGTTTTTCTCACCCATGTGTCGGCTTAATGGTAACTTAATTCAGCCATTAATTATGCCGTTATAATTCGCCGTTAGAATTCAAGATGTATATTGTTATACTAACCTTTACATGGTCGTAAACGTTTAATACTGTTGCATTTTTTAATCCAGTGTCAGATACCTCTGTATCGGTCTTTTCGTATGAGAAAGATGCACTTGGCAACTGACTGCCACACTCCGATTTGGATTCTCAGCCTGGTCTATATACTCTTAAACCTGAAGCTACGCTACAGTAACGTCAGTATAAATGCCGTCACTTTGGGTCGGCCGATGAAAATTTCTCATTTCAGCTTAATTAACTCGGGGGAGAATGAAAAATTGCAACTACCCCAAAATAAGCTGTTTGGGGGATTCTGGTTCATTTTTCCATCCACAACCAATTTTTAGTTGAAACAAACTAGAAATTAATTTCGACCATCAAAATTGGGTTGACGCAGCCCAACTTAGGTTGCGTATATGGGCACAAGCGTTTTCACCGGTTCACATTGGTCACCCCATTGACCCTTGAGGCTTAAGAACCATTCAGTTTGAACATCAGGTGTCGTGGGACCAGATTTAAAGAAAGACTCCCACCTTTGATTTTGGTTATCATCATGTTCTTCATGAACGGAAACAAAGTACTGCAATAATTTAGGCCCTGTCTGTTAGACCATAGAGGAAGGACACAGAAGGGATTGCAACCTGAATAATAGAAAGCATTCCAAAAATGCCCGTCTACTGCCTGCAGATATTAGACGGACAAGCTGGGCAAGTAATATCCTAGCAATACCTTTTTTAGCAATAATTTTCTGTTTGCAATTAAATACTATTGCTTTGACCAGGAAACACAGAGAGAGGAATTCTTGATATTAGACCTACTTATGCCATGGTGAAAAATATTTTCCTATGTTGATACACTGTTCTGTTATCCACCAGTGTTCAAAGACCTGGAACAAATTTGGCTAAGACTGGCCAACAAAATGTTCGCTACTGCTGGAAAGCTGGGTTCACACGGAACAAAATGCGCTATTTCATCACAGGGAGTGATCATGAAATCACGTAAAATTCGCTTTTGTGCAAATGACATAATAAAGATTATTCAAAGCACAAAATACTGTAAACTACGGGGCTATTCACTCCCAGAATAATTCCAGAAGAAAGCGTTCATGAAAGTCAATGACTGCACATATGCATTTAGGGCACTCGGCGTAATGCCAACAACCGCGCAATCGTTCAAATTGATCCTGTCATGAGATCATACCAAGCTCCCACAAGCGTCAATATTCCCCATGTTCTCCCTAGCTTTTACTTTACAATTTCCATGCAACATTCCTGCCAAATTTTACCTTGTAAGTTGAAATTCAAACGAGTTGCAACGTGTTTAGGTCTATGTAGTCCTGTGTGGATCTGTAATTGATCATGAAAAGCAGATACAAATTAAACGACAATAGGATCAATATTGTGAACAACCCCAAAATTACAAAATCATGATTGGCCTTGCACAGATCCTGCGAGGTACAGTCTGAAAATTCAATTACTGGTCCAGATCGCTTAATTGTCCAGGAAGCGCCTTTATTCACAGAACAGATTAATCAATGGCGATACCCTGCCTTACTCATAATGTGGTTCGGTTTTAAGTATGCAAATTCGTTTTTTGAGGACTTAAAGAAATGTTGGGCACGAGGATGTTATGCGCGAGAATGTAACCGCAGAAATTTCGGCTTTGTTCAACATGATCATTGAGACAGTTTATTACAGGCCTATCAACAAAACCGCCCAGGTATGCCTGTTGGTGCAGTCGACTAATTCAAGAGATAATTTCTGGCCTGCGCATTGGCATTTAAAGTTCCCTCCACATTATCCTCTAAACAAGGAGAATGTATGGCAGCCCGAAACGATGAGATCGTGTAAATCTGTGCCAGAACTAACTCCTCTTTGCTCTTTGGGATTCCATTTGAGAGCAGTATGGTAAAAGATACAGTAGAAATGTAGCTTTAAGTGCCCAAGAAAGTCGAAGGTTGCCACTTGAAAAATTGTTGCAAGCAGAATTCGAAAAAAATAACTTTTCGAGGGGCTTTTTTGTTTTGTGGGAATATTAAAAATGTAATTGGTTAACCCACAAAAATTGAATAGGAAAGGGACCAGATAGTAATTCCATTTGTGTTTCTGAAACCTCAGAGGTGTTGGAATGTCTGTTATTGGGGCTGGCACTATGCTGCTTTTACACTATGGTCTTCAATCAGTGGACTTTACCCCGGTATGCTGTGGGTTGGATGCTGTCTCGCCTTATGACGTGCAACTTTTTTCTGTTCTATACAGGACGAACGCTGAACCCTAACGATGATAGAGCCTTTCCAGGCTCACTCAGAGAAACAGCTGAAGAGGTATACAGCTGCTGTATTATGTAGTTATGTTTTGAAGAGTTTGATCCTGGCAAACATGTAATCCCTCTCACAGTCACATCTTAAACAGTCTTTGGGATGTAGAGTTACTGAAGTACAACATGCTCTTGGTTTCTTACTGTTTATCATTATCGTGCACATGTGTAATTTGTATACGGGAGGAACACTTGCCACGTTTTCATGCTTTAATGCTTCCACTTTGACTAGGTAGAGGAACGTGGCGGGAAGTGTGTCCCTGTACAGTGCGATCACTCTGATGACGAACAGGTAAAGAGTCTGTTTGAACGAATCTCTCGGGAACAAAATGGCCGCCTGGATCTCCTTGTCAACAACGCGTTCGCCGGAGGCAAGGTAGGCACTTTAACTGGGCTCTTCAAGCCAGTCTGTTGTGATCAAACCATAAACTAGGGTACCCCGGACTCACATCCACCTTTATAGTACATTGCAAATGTCTTTCCATCGGGTTTGCTACCCTGAATCCTTAAAATCCTTTGGAAAAGATTATCGGTTCTTCTGTCACACTAATTGCCGTTTGTGGGATTCTGAGAACGAAATCCTTATAAAATAAAGCGCATCTCTTCGATGAGGTACTTAGTATATTCAAACAACCCCTGTTCCTATTGGTCGCGACCCCATCACGTGGCTGGTTCTAGAGATAAAGTAGGCCTACTTGTACCGGCTGGCGGAGGAACACACCATAATATTGGCTTTAGAGGGGTGGTTAAAAAATTAGTAAAGTGTTGAACAAAATCGTTAAATTTGTTAATTTGTTTGACTTTCTATAACCAGAGGTATTTATAGAATGTGAAGAAATATGTTCTTGGTAGGTCCTAAACTAATGGCACAGGAGAGTAGAGAATGACTGAATGCCAATCTCCGTTGATTTATTGCTTTCTGCGCCACCTCATGTAGTATACGTGCCACACACGTGCCTGTTTCGATGTACAAGTGTTAAGGGGATTGTTCGACTCACGCCAGCGATAAAAACGGTTAGAAGGGCGTTTGAATAAAATAGAATATTTGACAAAGAATGGTTTGAAATTTATAATTTGGAAAAACTTATGTTGACTTTATGGCACGAAGTAAGTACTTGGTCAGTCTTGAACGAACGCTTCTGTCTGGTGAAGCACATATTTTTCCCGTATCATAACGTCCACGTTTTAAACTGTATTTTTAATGCACGGTCCTATTTTCTGTTTAAAACATGAGTTGTTGGAACGTTGCTCTTCCAGATACCGTCAGTATCCGAAATTAATAATTAAGCTGGAAGATGCTTGTGCATAAAACATGGTTTATGTCTTCGAGTGCTGTAATTTCTTTTCGATTCTCCCGTTTGTTTTCGTTGTAGACGCTGTTTGAGTCCAGAGACAAAAAGTTTTGGGAGACTCCGCCCACTCTGTGGGATGACGTAACTGTGGTTGGACTAAGGTATACGGAGTCGTTTTGGGCAGCGGATAGGCCTACATTATGAAATATGAGATTTTCGTTTGGGATTAAGATAGCTAATTCATACATCCATTGCAGCAGTGACATGTGCAGGTAGACATCTATGTACTGATTAGTTGTGGGACGTTTCTATCTTTTCAAAGGAGCTATTACATTGCAGCTTGGCACGCTGCCCAATTGATGATACCGGCCAAGCAGGGCTTGATAGTCAACATCTCGTCCATTGGTGGACTTCACTATTTCATCAATGTCCCATACAGTGTGGGCAAAGTTGCTGTAAGTATTTATATTCAAGTGTCCATGCAGGTATGGTATTGTTCCTGATCTCGCCAAGTTTATACATATTCGGAACTTATTTGCAAGTCGTTCCTGTTAGTTTGGCATCTTTTGAAAAAATCCCAAACGCTACTGATCGCAGATGGCACCACACTGGGAATGCTTTTTGTTTTTGGGGGGTCACAAGAATGATTTTTAAATCTCAGCGGTCTACTCTCGTGCTTAGATGGCCATCAGGCCTGCGGGCCTAATTGTTACATTTTAAAGCCGTTCTGTCCCAGACCTGAAAAAGTAATATTCATTGCATTCAGGGGTGTAGCCCGGGGGAGGCACATTTCCACCCCATTCACAAATTTGTGGCCCCCCTCCAATTAAAAACGGAAGAATTGATATTGAGCCAGACTAACAAAAGCTTCCCCCCAAAAAACACACCACTGAAAGCTGGTTCCCCCAAGATGCTGTGTCCCTTGTCCCCCCCCCAGATGCTGGTGCCTCCACTAGTAAATTCATAGCTGCACCATTTATTGCATTTGCATTGCTATCCTCCAATACCCCCAAGCGTTCATGGGTTAACCACAACATCTTTTGCAGCAATATCCGAAAAACGTATTTTATACATGCACAATGTGATAATGTACCTGTGTATCACTGTAGTGTGACCGCATGGCTACAGACTGTGCTCTGGAGCTGCGAACGCACAACGTAGCCTGCGTCTCCCTGTGGCCAGGTATCGTCAAAACAGAGTCGCTCATGGACATGATGGCTTCTATACCAGAGGCTGCAAAAAAGGATGAACAAGCTATGGTAAATTTTAATTTAAATCGAATAGCCCCCGTTTGTAATGCCTTGTATTGGTACCCATGAAGTTTGGCTCATCGACACCACCCTTATAGATCGCTGAGCTAATTCTGTGAGTAACTGGTGAAGGAAGAGCTCACTTTAAGCACTCAAAACTAGCTCACACGAAGTGTGTGTGTGTTCACTTTACCAATTTATTACCTCCGATGCCCTTTCTTCACTTTCGTTGATATAGTCTGCCTAGCGCCCGTAATGAAGAATATCAAATTAAAATGAGTCGATACCTTAAGCTTTGTTTAATTGCTTTGAATGACTTCTGCATAGATTTCCCACACCTGACAAGATGTAAAATTACATAATTTGTTTTAGTCTGTGTTGATTGAAATATATTCTTTCCACCATTTTTGTTGCTTCTTTAACAGGTTGATCGCGTAGAGTCTGGAGAGTCACTAGAATTTTCGGGGAAAGCTGTTGCTCATCTGGCAAGTGGTAGGAAGATCTTGCATACCGCAAATACCAATATTTTCCTCGACAATGTATGGAATTTCATAGTGTATTGATCACTGATCGATAGCCTTATTTAATTCTGTGTCTTTTATCGAAATCCATGTATCTAGACCCGAACATAATGAAGAAATCCGGGCGCATCCTCCAGTCGGCGGAGCTCGCAGAGGAGTACGGCTTCACTGATGTCGACGGCCAACCTCCGCTCAACTGGCGGCGTCTCAAGACCGCATGCGCAATGTCTGGTCACACATGGGTCGCGGCACTCATCCCCGGCTTTATCAAGATCCCTTTCTGGCTCATAGCCGCGGCAAATAGTAAACTGTAACCATGGCAATGAAAGAAATGACCATGCTCGTTTCTTCGCTTTCGATTGCCTGCAGCAGTTTGCTGCGATCGTGCATTGTTCACGTAGGGGAGTCTGCAAGAGAACTTTGCAAATGAAGATGACCATTATAGTGTGCTACATAGGGTTGCTTCCTTGACAGTATAAGTCATGTAGGCCTATTTTGTATTCACCTCAAATGCATGGGGTACAGGGTTCAGATAGCTCATTTTAGATACATGCATTCTGATCAAGTTGTCATGCACCAATATTTTACTGCAATGTTATTGAAGACTCTCAAAAAAAGGGAAATTTGTTGACTGATTTTGGATTGTTTGGAGACACGTCTTAATTTCAAATCCAGATAATAAAAAGAATTCAATTTATTTTCTGTATTTACCCGAAGAACCTCTCATTGGTGCACTGTTTTCCATAACTGTGAAGGAAGTGCAGTACACAAAATTAATTTAAAATTGCTATTAGAAACAAATTGAAAAATATAAAATATATATATATAAATAATAAACCTGGACCAGATAACAGAAAACAAATCTTCGACAAAGACAAAAAATAAGCAGTAGAAACATTACCAACAAAGGTCCCCTTTTACGCATTAAAAAGCAGATATTGGTATTGGTTGTGTGCTTTTCAAGCTTGTTAGAGTACTAAGCAAAACACTTTAAAAGATATGGGAGTGTTGTTGAGTGCTTAACACTCCAGGAACCAGAATTTACGTTCACCTGATTTAGATTTGATAAATGGGGGAACGAGGTTGCCACGTGAAACAGACTTAGTAGCTTATGTATTTGTACTAATAGTAAACAAAAGCTATAGTTGATAATTGTGGCGGAAATTTCAAGGTTGGACTTTTACAGCTGTAGTGAATTCAAGTGAGAGTATGCTTTTCTTCTAGATTATTCCATCACTGAGTCGATCAAACAATGTCCGGGGAGTCTCCAGAAAAGCCTAGGACGACTCTCCCTCAGTACTGTTGAGTTAGGCCATGTTTGTCGAGGGACATGAGTTGACCCATACAATCAGAGTGTGGTAGGATTAGCCTCTTATGAAACAAATGTTATGTGTGTTGGGGGAGAGCATTAAAGAGCACCTATTAGGAATGCATGCATGTGGCTACGTGCATTGTTCGGCACGTACAAGGGCTTGTCCATTACAAACACAGGACGAGGGTTCTCCTCGTTTTCTCTGTGTTCTCAGAATGACGCAGTCTACATTCGGAATTCGCATCTTGGCATGAACAGAAAAAAAACAACCCTTTTTAGCTTGTTATAATTGAGCTCTGAAGGCAAATGACACTGCATTCGATTTGGATGCTTCGATATTTATTCGAACAGAGAAAACATGTTTTCCTTTAATAGAGGTGCTCTTTAATCCCCATGCGCTTGTTGACTTTCCGTACAGGTTTTTCAGTATGAACTCTCTGTATAAGAGATAGATCTTATTACGAGACATTTAAACTGGCAGTGTTATTGATTTCGACATTTAAATTGTTATCGCTTTGGCTTAGTTTGGCTTGAGTATAATAACCACATACTTTGAGTTTAATTGGCAATTAATTAGTGTTCACAGCAACCATTTAACCATGTCCCTGTTAAGTGCACCGTTTATTTTCATTAAATTAATAGACTTGGCAGGAGTAAAGCAGTGGCATGGTATCGTCACAAAAATCAATGATAGAGTCTTTGGAAACAATATTTGTCAGGTCATTAACCTATGAGGATGTAATGTTGATCCTGGGGCACTACAAAATTTACTACAGCAGAAGTAGAATAATTGTCACCAATTTGCAATCACTAGCTTCCGTCCACGAAAACCAGTCAAGCTTATTGCCACTCACTCCTGTATTGTAAAGTTCGTTGATAAGACGACCGCGGTGAAACGAACGTTATTGAACGATTTCTTTAGATCCAAAAACTGCACCAGGGAAACACGCAGAGTTCATGCTTTCCAAAACCAACCAATCAGACACATTGAGGAATTTGGGCGCAGTTTGGCGAGAAGCTGGACTTGTTTATGGACAAGCACCGCACAAGATTTTCACACAGTCGTCTACACAGGTAAGCAGGAGGTCGTTGGTTCGAGTCCTACCCAAGTAGGCTTGTGGGTTTTTTCACAAGCCTCCGGAACATACACTGAGTATAAAGTGTTTAATACATGTCGGGCAGAGCAAATTCAAAATTAATTTACATCTCCCCGGCGCAAATCCATCTTTGAATTAAATTAATTAATTTTCACACAAGTTGGAAGTGCACATATTGGGTCACAGATGTTGTATTTAGGCAATCCTCTGCGTTGCAAATGGAGACTATTATATTCCCAATTTCAAGACTAAGGGCACGGGGCCAATGGAGGGGCTCAAGTTCGTGGTGTGGGCAATGGGCGTCCACGAGATGGACCAAGAGAGGGCGCAATTTTCCTAGCAATGGAGGCTCCTTTTGTAGTAACTGCACCGCGACGGTTCAAGAACGCCCATGGAACAAAATTGTTGCTTTTGCATTGCTACCCCAAAATTTGGTCGTCGCCCAGCGCCTGAAAAGGGCGCTGGGAAGGGCTGATGGCTTTGCACTGTGATTGGCTACATTGCACACGACCTGTGACGTGAGGTTAGTCGTAGTCGCGTTTTGGTTTGCCAATGGCAATTCTTTGGCACGCACAAAGTGTCGGCTATATGACGTACTTAGCCAGTTCTCACAGCTGGCAGAAATTTACCCACAGTCTCGATCTGGGCGTCGTTAGCTGTGATCCCGTGTCCTTCCTTCACTAAAATCCGTGAAAGGCCATCAGCCCTTCCCAGCGCCCTTTTCAGGCGCTGGGTAGACTTAAATCAAGTCGGACGTACGTTGCTCTCCCCTAGCCATCCCTTCAGCCGGCGCGGTACGCATTACACGGTCGTCGCGCTCGACCAGGCAGCTCACATAACCCTTCTATGGCGCCGTCATTTGATAGCCTTCATTGTACAACGTGTGTTCCATGACACCAGGGCTGAGTTCGAGCGGCTTGGTTTCGTATGTTCACGAATTGGTCGATTTACTGTTCGTGAGTCGACCGCTAGAACGCCGGGAACACACTCCGTTGTTGCTGGCATGCACTTAATCGCGAGCGACATGCAACACGGCAGCGTCCATGTACGTAATTCGAGAGTTAATGTTTGGATAACTAGACTGATTTTTTCTATTTAAACAAGAACATTCATTTCTGTGTAATAAAAAATAATTCATTTTAAGTTTGCCAAACTTCCCGTTGTCTTTGACTTTTTAAGCCATCTTTTTTAATTCTTGCAGCTGTTCGGAAATTAAAATCTCCTGAGTTTTTTCCGTGTGTTCCTGTAAAACCCTGACAAGAAGGTGGTGTGTGTTCCTGTTCCGAGAACAGTGTTCCTGAGTAGTGTTCCCGCCGTTCGAGTGCGAGAATAAGAAACCTGTGTCAAGAACAGACCGCCTGAACTTGACCCCATTGCGACTTGACGGATAAGCCAATCGGACCCCCGGCGGTGATATGTAGTTATTCATAATTGCATATGAACGACATGATCCTGCATAATGTGAACTGAATTTCCACCAATCAAAGTTTCCGACTTGTAGATAGACTCGTTCATTAAAATGCAGTTATCAACGTCGTAAAAACAAGTCCGGCAATGTGATTGTCTGGTACCCTTTTTGGTAGATGAACCCATTCGCTGTGTAAAAACGGTCGGCAGATTCGTCATGTCGGGATTTCTGAATTGAACCCATAGTAATCAATGGACACAAGAGGCCACGAAGCAAGTAACGGCACGCGGTTTTGATATGTATCCAAAGTAGAAACGAAGACATCACTGAGATCCCGACTTGAGTCAAGTCTAGGCGCTGGGTGACGAGCGAACCCAAAAATGAACACTTCCGACCAATGTGGCTCTTTTCAACCGATGAGGTGGTGCTTCTGTTTGGGGCGGAAAGTGGCTGTGCAAGCTGCCAACAACCCGATTGCGGACAATACCATAAATCCACCTAGACTTGGAAGTATCAAGGGCACTGAAGAAAAAAACCACAACATGGTTCCGTTTTAGGATATCAACATCGCTCTGTGAACTCGTTTTTCAACTTTATGAGCCCCGAGGTGGACCAAGAGAGGGCGCGATTTCCTAACAACTCTTCTTCACAAAGAACTTCACTTCGCCAGTTCAGGAACAACCGTGAGATGCATGTGTTGTGTGCTCGTCGGTACAAACAAAAAATGAACACTTCCGACCGGTATAGCGGTTCAACCTTTGAGGAGGTGCTGCGGCTTAGGCGGATTGCATCTGCTAAGTTCATACCTGTAAGCAGAGAGATTATTAAATGCATTGGCTATTGCAGACCAATAGTCAGTAATTCATTGCCAGATCTAGCGTTATACCGACGTGTCATTTTTTATGGAAGGGCAGAATGTTTTTCTGGAATCAGACCTCGCACCATTGATAGAAAATTCATAGAATTAAGGTTCACGATTTAACTTTGTTGCTAGGTTGTTGATCTGTTTCTCAAAAAATGAAAAGCATCCCAAAAATGAAAATCCCGGAATGAAAAGCAAGCCTAACTTGTTCTGCATCCCGATTAGTTTGAAGTTATAGTTCGAGCATGAGTTTTAGTGTGGTCCAGTTTTTAAGATCAAGCCATTTGTTATTAAACTAATTTGAAATTCTGTTAGGAATTACGATATGGGCGATTCACAATAGTGCGCCGTCAAGAATTTGCAACGTGCAAAATCTGTCGACCCTTTCCAAACGTGCTTTGGGTCGACAGATGTCACCCATTGTGATTAGCTAACGCGTCACAAACTCTTGGAGGCGCACTGTTATGAAACGCCCATGTTCGTTTAATTAAAAAGGGCACGCATTATCACAGATTTGAGTTTGTTTTCAGAAGTTCCCCAGGTCATGCCAGCACTACCGAAAGTTTTAACATTTATCCAGCAGACGTACCCACAATTATTGATAAAACTTTCTCTTTCATTAGTGTACAATTATGACTAAGCCCCGATGTTACTTACAGGACCTTTCAAACACCTTGTGAACTACGTTTTCTATGCAATGGTCGCTTGTGGTCAGTGTGTACATGTTAGATGCGTAGATCAGATGTGGTCAGTGAGAGATTCTGAAGTACAAGTAATCTATGTACATGTAGGTTCCCCATTGTTACATTCAAGAGTTAAAATTAAAGTCACGAAAGCAAAATTATTATTTTTGGATTACACAGCTTCAGACTCCTCGAAGAACAAGGAGGGACCAAGAGAGGGCGCAACGGAGGCTCCTTTGGTAGGAACTGAACTTCGCTTGTTCACGAACGACTATGAAATGCACGCGTTGCAGTCACATCCCTTCTCAACAAAATAAACACTCCCGACCCATACGGCTCTTTTCAACCGATGAGGGGGTGCCTCTGCTCGGGGCGGATGGAGTCCATCGACAGTATCGGCACGAAAACAGGCCGAGGATATGGAAGATAGGGTTTGAACTTTAAAGTTTGGTTACGATGAAGTTCAGGCAGACAAATTTCAATGTGCTTGCTATGGACATAGATTCCCACACGCATGTCTGTCATCCGTCACAGCGTTTCTCAATTATCACTTTTCGATGACAGATATTCATACTTTTTCTTCAGCAGCTCAAGAACTACGTGGTGAAGATCTCTGTTCAATAGCTAAACCAATGTATAAACTCCGTACACGAGTGTTGCTGTAGCAGCTGTGCAGCCAAATCTCTGTTTAAATTTAAGTCAAAATTATATTATGGTTTCTTAAAAAAATTTCTAATCCCCACAATACTTGGAATATACTGTATAATCTCTAATCTGGTACACTTTGGTAGTTTGATCTTGCATAACATGTCTGCAAACCATCACATCATATTTAGGAGGTTCAGCCTAATTAACAAAATAAGCTCTTCCCCAGGGCTTTTGGATAGCCATGCCTTTTAATACGCATTGGGTACAAGGATGCATTGTGAACATATTTTCTCTGCAGTCATACAGTCAGCAGTGTCTGATTTGTGAATTTCACCACAAAAAAGGCTTTATCAATAACCAAGTTGTATTTTCACAGTTTGATAATAATGTGATTCCCAGATCATTCCTGTGATTTGTAGACCTTAAGAGAGCCCTCTATGGTGAGTTCAGTTTTATTTTGACCGTACAAAGAAAAGATAAAAATCTGGAAAAGTTCATGAGATTGTCAGTTAAATTAAAGTGTGCTTATTAATGTTATAGTATACACACACACCCTGCAATATACCACGTTCGTGTAGATGTACAGGTACATATACATATACTTACCTAGGTTTGGGCCATCCCTTTCTCATGGTCTTCCTGGGGTTATGATGTGAGTAGTGTTTTTCATTTATTTTGATTAATTTTCAGATTGTTGTCTAACGCTAACGTCTGGGACTTATAGTGTTCATTGTGTAACACCTATCATCTGAGGCCTAGTTCCAACTTGTGAAGTTGTGTAAATGACGGAGTCGTCATTAGCCAGTAGCCTTTGACAGTGCAAGTGTGCAGTTGTTCTCCACATACGTTTGTAAAACCTAAGACAGACGTTTGAATAATAATCACGGGGCACAGATACATAGAAGTCTTGTGCATCTGTTAAAAAGTAGACCGAAACTCCTTTTGGAGTCAATTGACTTTTTGAGGCAGTCACAATGAGTTTTCTCTGGGTAATATTTGGGTTCAGGCTAGGATGAACTATGATCTAACACGTTCGGTGCACTGTAATGTCACTACATGAATGACACTTTGTTAACTTATTGTTGAACCTTAGAGTTTGAACCATTCAAAGACAAGTGTTTTTGAAATTGTTTGATAAAACTTCACCGATACGTCCTTCCTCTATAGCGGTTGTTTGAACCAAGGGTTAAATGGTGATCGCCTAGATCGACTTTATATCAAGTTTGGCATCCTGTCTCAGTGCCTGGTAGAATGAATTATTTTTATTTGCCTAACCCTGAATTTTAGAGTCCTTTTTAGGTGCTGGCTCTGTGCTAGACCACAGTAGCAATGATGTTGAATTGTTAATGGCACAATGACTTCAACTGTGATGGCGGGTCGACCATTTGCCGGGAACGTTTGTCTGGTGACGGGGGCCAGCCGTGGGATCGGCAAAGGCATTGCTCTTCAGCTCGGAGATGCTGGTGCCACTGTGTACATCACTGGTATTTCCACGTTCCACCGCTATGGTTTCACTATCTGATCCGACTACCTACCGCTATTAATAAATAGGCTTTTGCAATGAAATGCTTTTATTGCAACGTGGAAGTAATATACATTATCGTATTTTATTGTGAAATATAGGTACCATGCTATTAAGTTAGACTGAAGTCGATAACATGTTGAAGTGAGGGTTTTTCCCTTTGAAAAAGACAAGGCCGCTAATTGTGGTAGTATACTGACTAACGTTTCAAAACTGATGTGGTGAGATTCGAATCGTGAACATCCTCACACTAATCCTTTTCCTTGTATATCCACTGCTACACTAAGACAGCCAGTTCGACCCAACTCCGAACCTTGGTTCTGTTGGGCCCACGACTAAACGTATTTGCCTTTGAATGTGAATAGGTCGGTCCCTGGACCCAAAAGGCAAGGGAAAGCCTGGATCATTAAGAGACACAGCGGATGAGGTAATGAAAAGGTCTAAAGGTTTACTTCTTTTAGTGAGATAGGCCTACTTTTCCCACATTTTCTGAGTACTGTCTCGCAAAATGGAAAACGGTCCTTGTCTAGCCCCAGTGTAAATTCACAAAAATGTAGATACACGGTAAATGTATGCTTACAGTCGAATGTTCACACATATATACTGTTATAACTATTACCTATTCGTCGCCCACATTCATTTCATGTAACTGTATTATACTCCATGTGAATACAGCATATGAATGAAACTGTGTAATAGAGGATAATACCAAGGAATCTATAGGTGGAGTTTTAAAAATTGTTACTTCAACTGTGACGTCAGCAGCTTTAGGAGAGACTTTGGGGCAGGGCAAAGAGACCTGGTTCCCAATTTGTAGTTCTGCTTTGTACAAAGCACTGATTTATTACAAAAAAACCGCATCCATGTGCCTTGAATGCAAAATAAAAATTAAACGCTCAAATCAAGGATCTGGTTTCTGAAGTCTTTCAAAAATTCCAATTAATATCAGCCAGACGTTGACAGTACTTGGAGTAAGTATTTATATTACATACCACAGAGATGTAGAGAGTTAAAATTTTGTCTTCTGTCTAGAAGAAAATTGCCCAATAGTCCAGACGTACGGTTGGAGGCATCAAGTAAACAGATAAAAGATTCAGCTTTTAGTGACATCTACAGGGAGAGTTGCAAGGAGTTTTCCTTGGGGCAAAGTATCTTTCCGATGGGAAAAGTTGCCGGGGGCAAAGCACTTATCGGCTGATAAACGAACGTTGAAAGGGGATAATTATTGAGGTATTTTAAGCAAGTCGACAATTTTTCATCTCTTTTGATCGCTCTTTTTTCCTCCCCCTGTACTTTGGAAACAATTTTCCCAGGGGCAAGATCCCCCATGGCACCTCACGTCAAACGTGAAAGAACCCAAAAGAATCCAACAGAAACGGCAGGTGTGTTTTCCTTTTCAGATTGAGGGACGAGGAGGCAAGTGTATCCCTGTGCAATGTGATCATGGGGATGATGAGCAAGTCAAGCTGCTGTTTGAGAAGATCTCCAAGGAGCAGAATGGACGACTCGATATCTTGGTGAACAACGCGTACTCAGCAATATCAGTAAGCTTTCATTTTTTCCTGCGCAAAACAACAAAAATTAATCGTATAGAACCGTGGTGAGCCATGGCCAATCAAATTTATGGGTAATTTATCGGATAATAACTAGGAATTAGTAACAGCTCTTTCTGGCATAGGGGAACAGAGTACTTATGTGCAGCAACCTTACAAACCGTCAAAAGTGGAAAGGGGCTGTCAGTTCCATGGGTTTTTCACATCAGTGATTTTTGTATTCCCTTTCCTCCTGTCTTTGTCTTTGTTTTGTTCCTATTTTAGCATGTTTTGTCCTTTCCAATTCTTCCATTCCCTCTTATTTTCTTTCGTAATATGCTTCTAAAAACAGGCATTTCAAATTTGTCTTTCCCATATTGGAACTGATATAGGAGCTGCTAAAAACGACTGGAAAGACGTTTTGGGAGTTGCCTGTATCCATGTGGGACACGATCAACAGAGTTGGATTGAGGTAGAAAGTTCCATAAAATAACAATGAGTGACTATTTGCTCCGTTTCATCACATTGGTGGCTTTAAACTGCAGAAATCTGGAGTTGCTCCGGTATAGACATCCCCGCGTAGAGGAAATGGAGTTAACCATAAAAGAGCCCATCTCATAGTTGGGGGGGGTGGATGCCCCCCCGAACTCGGCCCTGCTTCGCTCAATTTTTGAACTCGTATGCATGTGCAGACTCTACACTCCTTACAAAGGCGAAGTTTGAACGCAATCAAAAGTGTTCTTGTTACGCTCATTTGAAGATCTAACTACCCACCGCTGCTTATAAGCGAGGCCTGTGCAGCAAAATAGCCTGCAAAAACTGTGATGCTAATATATTATCGTATGATGCAATACAGTGGCACACTTATAAGTGAGGCTAGTCAGCGTCAAAAAAATTGGAGGCAGAAAGCTCGTACAAGCCTCACTTTATATGTGTGCCTTATATATTGCACCATACCATAATATATTAGCACCACAGAGCATGGCCATTTAGCTGCACAGGCCACACTTATAAGTAGCTGTGGGTAGTCGGATCGGGTGTCAATGCTATGTGTGTGCCATGCAGTCCGTGTGTATTGAGCACCGCAGTGGAAAGGGTATGCATTTTTACCTGACCTGTCTCGAATAAAAGCGCTGCGTGAGAAAGTATGTTGCATTTTCGCAAAATTGGTGTCAAAATGGTTGCAAAAAGTTACTCTAAAAACTCCTAAAGGCTCAACTCCAGAAAAAAATGCACCAAGACTGGACCAAGACCAGCAGGAACTAATGTCGAAATTGGTAGGTCCTTGGACCAGCAGCGTCAGATAATGTTGGTGAAAAGTCGGCAGTTAATTTGGAGAAGTGGCCTCTTCCCAGCAAGGGCTGGGTCTAGCTTGTTGGTCCCAATCAAGTTCTGGGCATGGGCGTAATTCCAGGATGGCCCGGGTGGGTGTATACACCCCACACTATTTTGAGATGGGGGATTAGCTATTAAATCATCCACCTACTTTTTTGATAAGCAAATAAAGCGGATTGTGAAGAATTTTTCAGACTTCCAACGACTAAAAAAGTGCACTCAATATTACTCAAAATAGGAAACAATTTCAAAAGGCCAGAAATATGCCATTCTGAGTGCATGTTATACATGTACATCAATATCATGAACATCGACATAGAGTCAGAGGGTGTCAACCCCCCTTTAATTTCAAATTTTCGTGGCTGGGCAATTCCATTGCTCCATCTTCCCCAATCTCTCACCCCACCCCCAAATTTCCTGCACAAACTTCACTGCTTCTTGGGAACTATGGCACTATATCAAAATGTCTTTTGAAATTACTAGCGACAGGGGTGTGTGTGTCATTTCCAAACGTAGCCAACCATTTCGGACAATCCTCGCTTCCTTTATATTATTTGAGCATAGTTAATTGGATACAAGGAATTATGATGGATCATTCTTGCCAGACTTTGGAGACGACAAACAGCTTATAGCATGAACTCAATCCTGTTTCTTGTAGGGGCCATTACGTGGCCACGTGGCACGCTGCTCAGATGATGGTACCTGCGAAACACGGTCTCATCGTCAATATCTCATCACCTGGGGGGCTCATCTATATCTTCAATGCACCGTACGGCGTGGGGAAAATTGGGGTAAGAGGTGAAACTCATTTTAAACTGAAAACGGATAAAAGGTCATTTCTCCGTGTCTTCTTGTCTTGCTTTATTCATAGCTGCATTGTTGTCTTTGTTTTCTTAAATCTTTCCTCGAATGTCATGTTTAAATTTTTTTTCATCTTAATGAAATGCTTCGAACATTCGGTGTATTTATGAAAAATCAGTCAAATCATGTTGGATGTTATGCTGTGCAGTGTGATCGCATGGCGGTGGACTGTGGCCTGGAGTTGAAGAAACACAACGTTGCCATGCTGTCATTGTGGCCAGGACCAGTGAAGACGGAGACTCTTCTTGGCACGTGGACCGCTGAGAACAGGACAGATCTCGAAAGGGACAGCTACGTGAGTAAGAATACACCAGACGTCTACATGGATTACGCGATGGACATACAGACTGCATGCAAACATTTACAAGGCCTGATACGAGACGGCCGTGGGACTGCGTTGCCAGTACAATCTGGCACAGCACGTGCAGATGCCAAAAGAACCATAAAGAAAAGGGCACAGAGGGAACATCTGATCAATATTTCTTTCACACTGTTTGTACACACTTATTGTGGTTTGGGAAGACTTGCGAGAGGCACTTAATCAATATTCGCTATTATAATCTGCGAATTGATTTTGATACCGTGATAGGAATACACCATGAAGTACGGAGAGTCAACCGAGTATTCCGGAAAAGCTGTTGTCCATCTTGCAAAAGGTAATGCTACAAAAATTAAGCCAAGAATAGCTGAATATAATTTTTACAATTTGAAAGTTTTCTGTGTATTCAAGGAACTGGAACTGGTATAGATGAGAATACAGAGCTCCTTACGGGCAATAACGGTTTAGAAAAACATGAACATACACAATTATACGTCGTTTCAAACAAGAAAGTGTCAATAAACCTTTTCGACATTTGCAGTTGATAATGGAATTGGATGACAAAACAAGCAATGCATTTTATGCACATTTCAACAGTGAGATAAATACACCACAAAACATTACTTTCAACCTTATGAATATGCCAAATGAAGATATATCTCTATTCACACTGTGTTGCGCGGAAGATTTGGAATCAGATATTATATTAAATTGTACAAATTTACAGAAAACGAAAATTAGGGAACCCCATTCCACGAACATTGGTGAACCTAAGGGGAGGGGGCTCAGGGCTTAAGCTCCCCCAAAGAGGTTGTCTTGTTTTTCTTCCTTTCTGAAAACCGACGATACTACAGACACCTACATCTTGAAAGACTGGCTCCGATATGCGCCTCAGTCACCCATGCTGCAAGGGGACGGGGCTTGGGCACCAATGGTTATGGGGTCCAAGCCCCTACCCAATGTTGTTCTTACTGGGTGCGCCACTAGATTGTATCTTGGACTGCTACCGTAAAATGTCAATACAGTAGACCTGGCCAGTCAGAATCAGGAATTGGTGATTTATATTCATATTATGTTCACTATTGAGCTTCTTTGTAAACATCTAAAAACTCAAATTGTCCAAAACATTTCCTTCACAAAATCTCTGGTATACTATGCATTCCTTTGTAATATTGTAAGCATCTTAACTATAGGTAAAATTCTGAAGAAAAATATTAACCGATGTTCGTTTCAGTTTCGTATTTGGTTCGTGCACAAAATGCATGTCTACTTTGACACCAAGTCCGGTGATGCAATGAGACTGTCGAAAAATAGTATGAAAAGAATACAAAATACGAACCCCAGCAAAGTCCAGAACTTAAACGACAGGCACTACGTCATCATTTTTGTAGCAATTGTGATGAAATGTCCGACAATTGTCTTGTTGACGCCTGCGATATGGGTTGAGAATCGACACTGTAAGTGGAAAGCATATGAAAGACTTCTTCAGCACCCGAAGTTAACAGTTAACCATACTTAAAATTTTTGAGCCTGTAATATATCAAATCAGTGCAACAATATTATTTAGCCGCACACATTTCATGGTTTCTTTGGTGGAAGAGACGCAGACGAAAGACAGGTTGGGATTGATTATGTGTAGAATTATTTAGACGAAAGACAGGTTGGGATTGATTATGTTTAGAATTATTCTGGGGAGTCAAGGTTTACGCACACACAACTAACAACTGTTTCTGGCATCTCTTTATTTTCTAGATCCCCAAATCATGACTAAAACTGGTCGTATTTTCATCACGGCAGAGGTAGGATATGAGTATGGATTCCGGGACATCGACGGTAAAACTCCGGCAAGTTTGCGGCAGGCCAAGACGCTGTTCCTCTGGACTGGCCACCCCTGGCTGGCTGCTTTGACGCCCCCTTTCGTTAAGTTTCCATATTGGCTGCTGGCACTCGGAGGAAACCACTTCTAAAAAGGCATGCTGATGTGAATCCAGGATACAAATAATTGGCAGATCTATGATTCAATGCATGGGACTATGCTCCCACCGCACCCCCCAAAATGAAACAATCTTTTTTAACAAGTATAATATAGAAGGGGGACCACACATGATTCATTTTCCTCTTCGAAGAGCGTGTAAAAAGGCCGAAACGTAAGCCTTTCCCTTAAAACAGGCCGTAAAAGGTAACAGAGTGATTTTCATAATTTGGGTCCTCCCAAGAAATGCTCCCCCAGTAGAATATTTGGTTCTGGATCCACCTTTGTAATTAGTTTCTGAAACGTTCAGAATGCCACTGTCTTCAGAAAACCTTCTTCAGAACTCCTTCTTTACTAACTTCTTCTTACTATTGGGCTCACAATCGGATCCCCTTCAACCCAGAACCAGACCACCAAAAGAAAGATGCTTTTGTTTGGGGTTAATTTTTTCGTTATTGAAAGGTTGAACCAAATGTGGCACACCTAAGCGACAGATAACCAAAATGCTGACATGTAATGGCTCAGATTTAAGATGTGACAAGTTCAATAGTTGAAGAGACGTAATTTTAAAATCATATTGCAGACGACCATATAAATTCATTTTTTAATCAAGTTGTGTAATTAAAGAGCAACGTAGGGACTTTTTCAGCTCCTTTATGATGTTTCTATGGTGCATGTCCTTAAAGTGTAATGTTCAAATGTCTGGAATGGCCTTCCACAGCTATAGCTACGTCTGTTGTCAGCACGTCTATGCGTACTATGGAGTAAAGCCCTAAACCGAGTTCCAGACAACAGATTTGGATGCAGCCTAAACTTAATTAACCTTGAAGTTTGAACTTTTCAATGACAATGGTTTTGAAGTTATCTCTTTCACTCTGTCTTTAAGGTCAATTGTTTCAATTAGGCATACATATTGAATCATACATTTGAAGGCGAAGTTGCTTTTTTTTCTCTTCAAGGTAAATATCAAATAAAGCCGTGCACTGTTTAGCCTTAAACGTCAGGTCCCCTGTGAAATAAACGGTGCAACTAATTGAGGAGCAGGGGGAATTGACAGCGCCAACACTGAAGAGTATTCTTTCATGAAACGGGACAATTTATTTATTTCAGAAAAAATCTACTAATCCCCCCGCCTCTCCAACAGAAGCCAAAGCCCCCCTGTTCCCCATCTGAAATGTTTAGCTGCAGAAAGTATGTATAAGTCACATACAGTTAATTTGCCCTTTCAGAATTTTAACCCAATACACCACTGGAAATATATTTGCTGTTGTGCTGGCACTTCCGGGCCACCGTCACACACACAAGAAAACCAACAAACAAACAAACAAAGAAAGAACAAAAAATGTGATGGGTCAAGGCTAGGACACTGTAAGCAAAGAGTGTGTATTAGTTCCTGTGTGAGCAGCTTATTCTCTCATTCTGCTGCTGGAAAGCCGTGAGCGAGACAGCACAATGACCAGCAAACCACTAGCGGGCAAAGTTTGCCTGGTGACTGGAGCAAGTCGGGGAATCGGCAGAGGAATCGCCTTGCAGCTTGGAGAAGCCGGGGCAACAGTCTACGTCACCGGTAGTAACAAACAGTGCAGCACCGCGTAGTGAACAAACAATTAACAGCCACGTAAACTTACATGTAGTTCTCAACTAATCGCGTGTCTAGTGTACCTGTTATCGCGTTCAGCTTGTGGAATGTTGCGTGTTCACAGTACACGTACGGAGCGTGTGGTTCAAAGTTCATACTCGCAACCCCGCGTTTCTATGCAATTTCGAGTTCGTTATGGCAACCTCGGTTTTAACAGTAAACTTCTCGTGAACTTTAACTTGTTCTTGCTCAAATGCACTCCCTCAGTGCGAGAGCGCTAGGCTGAAATACTACGCTCAACTGGGCATGAGTGCATGGGAATGCACGAGTTTTGGTCGGTATGCAAAATGCCTGCAGTTGGAAAGAGCAAAAAATCTAGCGAAACACCGTCGACAAATCTGAAACCTTCGCACTGTTCTCTACCACAGATTGTTTTGAAAATGCCAGGACCTTGGCATTTTTTGTGTTGGGCCCTCACAATTGTGCCAGAAAGTAAATAAGCTTATGCTCGCGAAAATTTAAGAGTCTTGGACAAAAATTACGTTTTTTGCTCACTCTGTGACTGTCTCTTGATTTCACTTTCACTAGATACAATAGGAATTGGCTAATCCTACCATTAAAATGTTTTTGTCTTGTAATCCTACTGTGACTTCGAAAAAGTATAATAAAGATATACATTTCATGAAGGCACGAACCTAACGTAGCCCTTGTTTAACATGCAAATATCCCCTGAATCAGAAGTGCAATAGAAAATTTCAGCTGAAACATACGAGATAGGATGCATGCTACCAGATGGCTTGCAGGCGTTTGCAAGGGACGCTCAGTATCAACGTCCATATGCGCGCGCGGTGCGTACTGACACAAAACCAGCCGTGTTTTATCAACCGTTCAAGACTGACCACGTGACGAGCTCTCGACCAATAGGAATGGCTAAACTATCTTAGGTATTTATGAATAATGATACAATAGTGTTAAAATAGATGCATTTACATGTACATGTATGTTGGAACTAATGTAATATTTTGACACTTTAAAGTGACAATTCAAAATGCATGTTCATAGATGTAGGCCTACTTTATAATCCTTCCAATGAAGTACATGACTCAGGTAATTTCTGTAAGACGCGATGTATCAGATACCAAAGTTTCCCAACTGAACAAACTGGCAGTGTTGTTATTAGAAACTCAATTCTTAGACATTTTTCTGTGGTGTCAAGATGCTTAAAATTGGACAATTGAAAATTGAGAGATTGGTCATGGTTTTAATTTGAACTACAAACCTATTATAATAGCAATCAAGGAAGAAATAAAAAGGGAGGTTTGTCTGCATCGGGTGAAAGGAGCTAGTTGAGGGATTGCGAGGTGACTGAAAAACAAAAGAGAGCCACCGGGATTCCAACCATGGACTTGTTCAAAACTAACCCCCTAGCTTCTACCGAGTACTAAACTATACAAGCCGGCGCGACATAACTCCCCTTTTCCCCATCTAATTAGGGCCTACAATTAATGCTGATGGGGCCTTTACCTATTGATGCTTACACTCAATGCTTTACTTGGTAGCCACCATGCAGGGAAGTTCTGCTGTACCACAGGGAACCTCCTTTGTGCGTACCTTATGGAACTAAAGCAACAGCCTGCAACGTGGCAGCCATGCATGCAAACCCCTTTTATATAGTGGCATTTTGCTTTACTGCCCCGTTTAGTGACGGCCAGAGTTGCTGACTCGGGTCATGTGATTTGGACTCAAGTTGGACTCCAGTCGCTATTTTTGCGACTTGTGACTTGACTCGCAAATACCAGCTTTGTCTTGTGACTTGACTTGGACTTGCAAAAAATGACTTGTGACTTGACTTGGACTTGCAAAAAATGACTTGTTACTAACCCAAGTCAGACGCTACTCAAGCAGGACGTGATAGAATATTTTGCCTTTTTCTTTTCGTTACCAAAACTAACTTCACCATAAATTGTTTATTTATCTAAAATTTACTAAAATAATCACTGACTTGAAATAAATTGCAGTAAAATAATTGTTTGATGATATTCTTCAACAAAAAAAAATTCACCACACTGTGATCAACAGACGATTAGCAAGGATAAGTACATGTGATTTATTCGCCTTACTGCTGAAACGTAATTTATGTTAAAGCGTTACTATTGGCCTGACAAATTTGAATATTCTACATCCTTATCGCAGAAGTTAAACTGTAGCTAGTTACCGGTCCCTACCGGTAATAATGGGGACGTGGACCAGTCCGTGGTGCAAATGGACAATTAGCCCATAATAGCGGTATGCACAGTACACATAATGAACAGCCATTTTGATTCCAAAGTCTGAAGTTGGCGCCACTCTCTATTGTAAAGCTCTGGCTTGCCTCCTGGAAGAAAATTGAAAACCAAAAGGGATAGGAGAAAGAGGTGAACTTGGAGGAAAATCACGTATTGGCTTGAAAAACCTCCAGATTGACGCTATTTCACCGGAAAATCCTAGCAATGCCCTAGATCCTTGGCATTTGAGGAATGCTTCTTTGTTTTTGCCGGTCATTACGTTTATATGCGTTCAAGACGGATGTCTAGTATTCGCCATTGTTTGTTTGTCCCTTAGTGAGTAGATATCTAGGATAAAGGCTTTTATTGTTTTAATTTGGTGACAATGGATGCAACAATATCCAATAATGTATCCAGTTAAGGTAGCTACTGAGACTGCTACTGTCCCGCCTGTTTTCATAGTCCCATCATGGCGAATCTCAGACCGAAAATTAAACTCATATTTGCCTTTACATGTGCATAGGTCGGTCGCTGGACCCAAAAGGCGAGGGAAAACCTGGATCACTGAGAGACGCAGCGGATGAGGTACCTGAACAAAAATTTAAGATTTACGTCATGCCGTCTACTGAAGTCTGGCTTTAAAGGTCCACATGAAAGCTTACAACTGTTGTGGCCGAAAAGCTTACACGTAATCAGATTGAAAATAATATAGTTAAAACTTTATCCAGTCCCTGCTTGTATTCTTTGCATATAGCTGATGAATAAGTACAAGATATGCCTCCACATGCCCATGTGCGTGAAGTATATCAGCTGAAGAAAAAGAATAGAAGACAGGACAAGGTGTTGTCTGAAAAGTTGTAGGCCTAATTAAAGCTATATACAGTATACGTGGGCATATGACGTCACATGCATGGGGGGCTTTGGAGTTTTGGCAAAGGCACTTGGATTTCCTCCGTTTGCTGTACTGCTTGGTAAATTTTGAACTCAAAAATGAACATGATTATTTTAAACTGATGACCTGGTTTCTTCAATTAATGCCATAAGTTTCTATTGATGAAGGGCAAATTTTGGTTGTATTTCTAATGAACAATTACTTATATTCAAGTTTGAGCTATAACAGGATTAGAGATTTAAGATTGTTCCTTCAGTTAAGAAGGGACTTGTCCAGGACTCTAGATATAGGGTAGTAGGCTTCTTGGTGGCACCTGCCACGTTTGTCCCCAGAACTTCTTTCCGAAGGAGGGGTAAAGTATTCATTAGCAGCAAGCCAATGGAGGATGGAAGGGGATCAGTTCCAAGCAAACTGGTGATTTTTATCTCCGTTCATTTCTCTTTTTCCTCTTTCGTAAATCTCTTTTTCATTTCTTTTCCCCTTTTTTCCAAGGGGAAAGCGCCCTCCCTTATCCTCTCTCTCGTGAAGCCAGGTCGCGTTAAAAGACACCCCGACCAAAAAGAATCAAACTGAAAAGGGAAGTTTATTTTCCTTTTTCAGATTGAGGGACGAGGAGGCAAGTGTATCCCTGTGCAATGTGATCATGGGGATGATGAGCAAGTCAAGCTGCTGTTTGAGAGGATCTCCAAGGAGCAGAATGGACGACTCGATATCTTGGTGAACAACGCGTACTCGGCAATATCAGTAAGGTTTCACTTGAAGACCTTTCCAGCAAAACAACAGAATCTATTCACAGAGCCATGGCTGTTTGGAAAGTTTCACTGCTATGTCTTGACACAAACCAGTCCCCGCTAACGATCAAATCGACAGTTGATTTATTGGAGAATAATTGATTTGGGATCGCCAGGAAGGTTCTCTCTAGGGATTGAAGCTCTCCAAAGTAGCAAACATCGATACAAATCCAGCAACGGTGAAAGAATCAGGGTCAGTTCCGACATAATTTCAAGTTGATGATGTTTCATCCTCTGCTCTCTTTTTTTTGGTTCCACCCCACATGCGGTCCATTTTGCCCTTCCCCCATAGTTGTTTCCCATTCCCTCTCATTTTTATAGCTATTTAGCTGATCTTTCACAAATGCTTTTAGAAATTTAAAAAAACAACAGTTGAAAAAATCTTATCCTTTATTAAAACTGGAATAGGCGTTGCTAACAACGATTGGAAAGACTTTCTGGGAGATGCCAGTATCCATGTGGGACACAATCAACAGGGTTGGTTTAAGGTAGGAAAAATCCCGAAATAATACCTGAATGTTTTGTCCCTTTCATAACTGTGGCTGTTTTACAAAAGAAAACAGGAATTGCTTCGGTTAGAACTTGATCTCCAGCATACAGAGGAAATTGATTTAAAATACACATCGAATTTCATACTGTTCCCCGCATATCCTTGATGATTCTATGTGTATGCTGCGCTCTGGTGGTCTTGTGGTACTGTCTTGAGACCAGCAAAATATGGAGACCTCATGGCCAAATCGAGCCTCAGACAAAGACAAGCAAGAACTATTATCGAAATTTATAACGGTCTCGAGATTCAAAATGGTGGACAAAATTTGCAAAGTCGACTCTTATGTTTAAGAGAGTTTAAGACGTTTAAGTTTCCAGGCAAGGGCTGAGTCTCGTGATCCAAGTACTTGGTATTAGTTCTTGAGGACTGTGACGGCGTCTGAATTACGGCTGTTGAAAATGCGTAAAGCCGCCAGCTCCTGGCGTGCGTCATTCCAGATGTAGTCCGGTAATGGACCGATTGCGCCCGCTAAGTCACGTGACCTATAGTGGGTATTAAATATCAGCAAACACGGCGTTCACTAAAAGCAAAGTGTTTCAAAAGTATCGTTTACCAAAAAAGAAAAAAGCCGACGATAGGTGCCGTTCTCAGACTGCTGATTTGCTGGGTACATACCGTAAATTGGCTGTATTGTTTGTAAACAACACCCGCAACACACGTTAATATTGCAGTGATACGCACTATAGGTGACGTGATGTAACGGGCGCAATCGGTCTATTCGGATACGCATGGCCTCCAGTCTGGCGACGTGTGTCCCCTTTCCTTCATTCCAAGATGTGGATGCCTAAGAATTCTGTGTAGTGTGAATTGTATAATTATCGGAATGGTGATTTATTTTTCTTGCAAGACTCTAGAGATGACGTCAAGCTTAGCATGAATTTAATCTTGTTTCTCCTATAGGGGCCATTACGTGGCCACGTGGCACGCTGCTCAGATGATGGTACCTGCTAAGCAGGGTCTCATTGTCAACATCTCATCTCATGGAGGTCTCTTCTATTTCCTCAATGCTCCCTACTGCGTGGGGAAAATTGGTGTAAGTGGTAAAACTCATTTGTCACAGAGAGAGGATAAAACAACTATGATAAAGGTCAATTTTTATAAAAGGTCAATTCCTTGGTCCTCGTTACTTGTTTGTTTATAGACACATCATTTGATTTCACTAATTTCTTTTTAAATATTTCCTTTCGGGTCTCATGTTTGAGCTTTGTGAAAACGAGCAAATTAATTTCATATTTTGCTGGCTGGGGAAAATGTGGCAGAATCGTCAAGGTTTGGTTGCTGGTGTAAATAAATTTATACACAGTGGTGTGTTTTTGGCCTGTTTAATCAATGTGTCAGGGTTGGGCAGGGGTGGGGGGCGGGCCTGGGGAGTACAGTGGCCGAAATCACTCGCAAGGGCACTTGGTTACAATTTACCTCTCGGTCAATTCTGGAATCGTATTATAGGGAATAAGGCTTGGGGTACTTGACCGTTTTTTTTCTTTCACACGATGAAGTGTCTTTAAGGGATAACGCAAGGTACGGCATGTCTTGGGGGGGGGAATACATGCCCATTAGTATAAATACGTGTATCGGAGAAGTCAATGAAATCATTTCGGGGATGGATCTTGTGCAGTGTGATCGCATGGCTGTGGACTGTGGCCTGGAGTTGAAGAAAAACAACGTTGCCATGCTATCATTGTGGCCAGGACCGGCAAAGACGGAGCTGGTACTAGAAAAGTGGACCGCAGAGGACAGGACAGATTTCGAAAAGGCCAGTTACGTGAGTATAAGACTGAACCAGACGAATACATGGGTGACGTGACGGACGGACAGACTGAATGCGAAGAGTAATAATGCCCTATCACTGAGAACGAGACGGCTGTAGGACTTTCTGGCTTCACTTTTTTAGACGTTGTTGTTGTTTGGAAAGTTTTTTAGCGACATATAATCGACCTGCTGCTATAAAGAACAATTTTCATTTTCTGCACTGTCAAAGGAATACGTCATGAAGTATGGCGAGACAATCGAGTATTCTGGAAAAGTGATTGCCCACCTTGCAAGAGGTAATGCTAAAAGCTTTGGCCAAGAATATTTAATTAGAGTTCAATTAAAAAATAACCAGTATATCCAATGGACTGAATGAATATAAATTCAGTACATACCTACATGATCTTAATGGGAATAAAACAAAGAACGATCACACTTATCTGCCGCACTTCAGACCAGTGTTGAAGTCGAGTCACCAATTGTCGAGTCCGAGTCCCGAGTCATGAAAAATGTGACTCGAGTTCGAGTCCTGGACTCGAGTCATACAACATTGCTTCAAACACGAAAGTGTCAATAATCCTTTACAATGTACCATGTAATTAGATGACCACCATGAAATGCATTTTAGGGAGTCTGCGACATCGTAACAGTTCAACAATTTGAGCTGCTCACATTTCATAGTTCATTTCATTTTTGTGAAAGAAATTTGGATGAAGGGGTATTGCGGTTGATATGTAGAGTTATTGTCAAAACGTTCGCACACGTAGAACTAACAAACTCTTTGTCGCGTGTCTTTATTTTGTAGATCCCAAAATCATGAATAAAACCGGTCGTATTTTCATCACCGCAGAGCTAGGATATGAGTATGGGTTCCGGGACATCGACGGTAAAGCTCCGGCAAGTTTGCGGCAAGTCAAGTCACTTTTCCACTGGACTGGCCACCCATGGCTGGCCGCCTTGACACCCTCATTCATTAGGTGTCCATACTGGCTGATGGCACTTTTAGGAAACCACTTCTAGAAAAGTATGGCAGTGTGAATCCAGGGTAGAAATAATGCATTACAATCAATGGCGAGTATCCGCGGAGCAGTCAGGCATCCCCCCACAAAATGCAATCTATTTGTGACAAGTAGTAAGAAAAATGGTGATTTGGTGACCCTTCCGGAAGCTTGTAAAGAGACCCAACCTTCAGCCTCGTCCTTCACAAATGCATAAAAGGTTACCCAAAAAATGCCACAATAATTGTACCACAAAACCATTTAATTGAGTTCCCGTTGAAATTTTGGTTCTGGATCTCTCAAAATTGATGCCTGAGACATCCAGGATACGACTCGCCTCAGTTAGTTCTAGAACTATAGGTTTAAATATTGAAATTATCGGGGTTCACAATCCTGTGGTCCTCTACAGTTCCTCAAACCAAACTGGAGTGGATATTTGTGTTTCAGGTTGTTATTAATATCGTTGTCATAGTCGCCTTCAAAAGTTGCACTAAACGTGATAGACCTAAAATGACAGATAACCAAAAGGCTGGCATGTAATGGTTCCAAATCAGAAATACCTCATCAAACAGTTTAACAGACGTAATTAATATTATCTAGTTGAGAGGTTCTGTTATATAATTTTTTATTTAGCATCATACGACGCCAATCGTGTGTGTGTGTGTACTGGTGTGTGTAAGGGGAGTTTCGATTAGGGGTTGAGGAAATAGCCATAAATGGATATTTGATTTTCAGAGGTCTTTCAGATACCTTTAATTTCCAATACATAATAATTTGGCAGTAGTTTGTGGGGATCTTTTTTTATTCTTGACCATCTCTGAAAACATTTGTTTTTTTGGCGGGGTTGTTTGTTTGTTTGTTTGTTGGGGTGTTGGGGTTGTTTGTTTGGGTTGTTTGTTTGTTTGTTTGTTCGTACGTCAAGGGATGAAATTATATTTGTACAATTTTGACCTCTTGGTTCGCATAACTACCGTATCTAACTGAAGCGCCATCCTCGTTCCAATATAATAAAGCATGTACATGTCCCATACGTCGATCATGATGCGAAATATTCATTGTGGAGGTACTCTACTGAACGTCCCGATAAAGGAATTATGCATCCCAAGTTTACCCTTGAATTGCATCATGGTGGTGCATATCACATGATCTCGTACAGAAATTTGAGTTTTCCTTTCCTATTATTAACAGCGCGTTAGACGAAAAATTTTCATGTAAAAATACTATAAGTGATTTTTAGCGTTAAGTATACTCAGATTTGTTTTCGGATACTTTTGAATGGTGAAATACAAATGAAAACGTGTGGTTTGGCAAAATTGATATATTACAATGTCGAAGTGATAATAAAAACACCGTCTTGGTGATAAACAGAGTTTCTTGACCGTGATACGTTAGTGTAATTTATGATTTAAAAAAGTTTGCAACTAGCAAATACGTTATAGGCTTGAATTTCTGAAAGGATCTGTTGTTGTCTATAAATTATGACAATCGTTTGTCTTGTTTAGGGACGTTTGACATATTTACTGCTTTGTTTTTATTCAAGATTTTAAAAATTGGGAGACGTAAACATCAAAGGTTTGGTTAATTTTCACTGCTCTCAAGACCCGTTTTAACGTCAAACACATATTCATAATGGTAAAATATCTGACTTCATCAATGAAGTTCTTTTCAATTATTAAGATCAGTGGAATTTTGTTCAGCAGCTCGAGATCAGCGCATTTTCATGCATGGTTTTCATTTACACTCTGCTGGTGAGAACCATGTGCTTAAGACCCGCCTGATGCCCGCCTGTGCTTTTTCCGTAATTTAAATTACCATGTTAGTGTTTTGCACATTTAGGATACGGCCTAAATGTACGCTGTTATGCTCAAATGTCACATTGTAAACTGACTATTCAACCGTGGAGTTTGAAGTATTCAATATGATAGTGGGTTTTTAAAAAATATTTTTCTTTAAAAATTGGCCTTTTTGAAGGCAAAAATTGAGTTATAATCATACTTTTGAACGTTATAAATTATGAAGTCGCGCACTTTGCAGCTTTAACCGTTAAATTGGCTCTTCCGTGGATTTTATAAAGCAATATTCGCCTATCCCATATAAAAACGCATTGTCCTCTTGTCACAAAGATAAAATAAATTTATATCATTTATTTACTTTATTTGCCTTACCCTGCACTTCTGGTGTGTTTCCACGCTTTATTTGCCTTACCCTGCACTTTTGGTGTGTTTCCACGCTACTCACGTATAAATATTAGGTGGTTAACATTTCACTCGATTGGGTCACTGGATATGGAGGGTCGGCATATTGCCGGGAAGGTTTGTCTGGTGACAGGCTAGTCGTGGGATCGGCAAAGGCATTGCTCTTCAGCTCGGAGAGGCTGGTGCCAGGGTGTATAGCACTGGCATTTCCACTTTTCAACACTATGCTTTCATTATCCGATCCGACTACAAGCCGCTATTAATGAAGGGGGCTTTACAGCGAAATGCCATTACTTGGAAAGGGGAAGTAGGCCTAATATGCGTTGTCGTATAATGCGGTATGGGTGTCATGTTGATAAGTGAGGCTTCAAAGTCGACAACTTGTTATAATGTGCGTTTATTCCCGTTGAATAAGGTTCCAAGGCTACGAATTTGGGCAGTAAATCTGGGTTGCCAGTGGGTCCTGGTCGTTCCACTGTCGAGATGGGATTGAATGGTCTTTTGTTGTTGTTGTTTGTTGTTTTTCCTCTGTGTTATTCCTATTCTGATGCTTCAAAAGTGATATCTAAACACCTTCTCCAACGTTATGGAGCCGTAAAGTCAACGTGCTTCCTGCACAGCCTGTCTTTCGCAGAAGACATAAGCTGACATTTGAGCGATGGTTCTTTTATGTTGTTCTGCACTGCATTGTTTTGTGTTAAACTGATACCCGTTTGTTACCATTAATTGTTAACTTATATTCACTAGACAGCAGATACCTTGGATGCAATGCTTTTCAGTAATTCAGGCTAATGAATGCTGATAGGTAGATATTGGATTATATTCAAATAATAGCGATTAAAGATAGCTACCACGCAAAGAATGCTATGCCATGACCGAATATTATAAACTCGTATTTGCCTTTGAATTTGCATAGGTCGGTCGCTGGACCCAAAAGGCAAAGGAAAACCTGGCTCTCTGAGGGACACAGCGGATGAGGTAAAAAAATTGAAGAGTTTACATCAATGTTTATTTCTTGCTTTCAACGTACAACGTCAAAATAGGGTACTCTTTGTAAATCTAGTGAGTGCAGTATGCCAGTCTTACGAAATGTAAATGTACCACATATAATTACACGCTTCTGCTCCCAAGTTCACACGTACCCAGAGTGACATTCCCGTTCCTTGTTACCATTCTTTTCAAGTAGCTGATGATTCTTTTCATGTAGATGGACTGTATCTATATTCCCACGGAAATAAAGTATGTGAAGTAAAACTGTGTGCTATGATTGATCTCCCAGAAGTCTTAACAGTTATAACTAATAATGTAATCTATGCATCCGCCCGTGATGCTACAAGCTTCGGGGAGACATTGGAGCGGGCAAAGGGAGTTTGTATCCTCCTCCCATTTGCAGTACTTTTATAACTAAATTTCAAAGAAAAAATCGTCCACGTGCCCTAAAAGCAAAATGAAATTTAAGCTTTTAGGTCAAGGATCCGGTTTCTTTAATTTTTTCAAAAATTCCTGTTGAAAACTGCTGTTGTGTCTTTATGAAATAATTGTTTATTTTCAAGAAAAGCGAAATAACAAAATAGAGATTTCTGAGATTAAAGATTGTTACCTCTGTCGAGAAGATAATTATTCAGGAGTCTGAAGAAAATTTAATGAAGAGAAGATAATTTGGTACAGTGGCAACTGCCTTGGCAGTCACCAGGATTTTTTTCCAGGGGCAAAATACTCATCAGCGGCAAGCTGGTTAGCGAACGGTGAAAGCAGGTCTTTTCGATAAGGTAATTTCAAGAACAGTGATTTTCAACTCATTATCTTTTCTGTCCTTTTTTGTCATTTTTTTCCCGGAGGAAAGCACTCCCTGGCGTCCCTGGCGATACCAATGGAATTTCTTGTTTTAAAAGACACCCAAACAAAGAGAGAATCAAACCGAAAAGGAAAGTGTTTTTCCCCCTTTCAGATCGAGGGACGAGGAAGCAAGTGTATCCCTGTGCAATGTGATCATGGGGATGATGAGCAAGTCAAGTTGCTGTTTGAGAGGATCTCCAAGGAGCAGAATGGACGACTCGATATCTTGGTGAACAACGCGTTCTCAGCAACATCGGTGAGGTTTCATTCTAAGACCCCCCCGGTTCCAGGGCAACACAACTTAATCTAGTACCATGGCCGTTTGGAAATGTGTGCCTCGGTTAATTAACTGAAACAAAGCGGTCCCTCTTGACGATGAAATTGGCATTTGATTTATTGGATAATAATTGATTATGGGCGTCTCTAGGAAAGCGGAAGGCTCTTTGCGGGGGCAAAGTACTCAAAAGAAGCAAACATTAATTCCAACCATCAATGTTGTAAGAATGGGAGTCTGTCCCAAAGTATTTTTACATTGGTAACTTTCTCCCCTCTCCTTCTTTTTTCTTCTTTCCACCTATTTTCTTTCCAATTTGTTTTTTACTTTGTAATTTTCCCATTATCTTCCACTAAAATACTCTTAGGGATGCTTTTGAAATGTCAAAATGACATTTCTAAAAACAAGAACTTGTTTCTTCTATTGGAACTGGAATAGGCGTTGCTAACAACGACTGGAAAGACGTTTTGGGAGATGCCTGTATCCATGTGGGACACGATCAACAGGGTTGGTTTGAGGTAGAAAAGTGAATGTTTTGTTCCGTTTCGTAAATCTGCT